GCAACTAACTATAGCAGTGATCGTCCCAAGGGGCCACTTCCTTCATGGCCATCCTCGACCTCTAGTGAAGTTGCCGGCCTGAACGAAATCTAACCTGGCAGATCCTACCCCCTCTGTTGGAGTCACTGTCGCCTCAATTGAGAAGAAGAAAAGACGGGGCAAACCGCGAAAAGCGACCTCGTCGAGCCAACAGTCTGCTACCCCCCCCCCCCCCCCTCCATCTTTTGCTGACACTTGGCAAGGTAGCTTTTGTACAAGGTCGACGCCCTCTGCTATTGTTCCCACATCAATGGATAACATTACCATACTGAAAAGGGGTGAGTTTCTATCTGAAGCTTTCCAGGATACTACACAACCGACCCAAACCGAAGCCTAAGCCACAACCACCCAGACCGAAAGCCAAGCCACAATGACCCAGCAAGCTGATGTCGCGACACTAGGGGCGATCGAACCGATGTAGACTCCTAATCACTTGAAGGACAAACGGATACCTCTTCCTAGTTATGGAAGACCTCTTTTTCCCAGTTTAATGTTTAAGATATTTTCTTGGAACTGTAGTGGGGCAAAACATGTGGAGTTTTTATCCGCTTTTAAGAACAATGTGCCTCATTTTAAGCCAGATATTGCTATCATTGTTTAACCTCGCATCGATGGGGAGATTGCGCAGAAAATTGTTGATCGCCTTGGATTTGACGACAAGTACATCTAGGAAGCACAAGGTTTTGCTGGGGGTATTTGGCTTCTGCATGTGGAAGGCTTCATTGCTAACAGTTCAGATTCTGGATACATCCGTTGTTTTAAAGAAAAGTGAATTTTGTTGAAAAGAGTAAACATTACAATAGGGAATATAAAGAAATAAAAGAAAAGAAAACACTACAAAGAAAGAACAACCTTAAATCTAGACCCAAGAAAATTCTTTAGATAGCGACCTTGTCGTCATGCTGTGACGCCTTTTATTCTTTTGAGATTTCCTGTATATTTTGATTTGCGTGTTCAAGTTTTCTGTTGGCAGGCAATTTCCTGAGGTAACAAACTTGGATTTGCTGCAAATCGCTCTGTTGAATTGTGATTTCTTAATTTCTGTCAGAGTCAAGATAAAGGGACGACGATCGCTTTCAGTTTCATGTCCCAAAAAGTCGTCCATGAAAAAAGAGTCATCTGATTGATAAAAGTTGTCTGATGCATCTGAGTAAGCTTGAACACGCCTGTGTTGTTTCACTGAAGTTGGAGACCATTGTTTCTCTAAGTAGGCTCCCCAAACTTTGAAATCAAAGATAAGCTTTGATATTGATATTGGCTCCTATGTCACTAATGTTGTTTCTTGTAACCAGTGCATTGGTGTCTCCTACACTAAATGAGTTAGTCCAACAAAATTGGAAAATATTGCCATGAAATTCTTTAAATTGGATTTTTTTGGGCCCATGGGAATTAGTACAAAGCTCCCTTTTTCCTTAGCAATCTTCAAGTAACGACCTGAATTGTTGAATTTCGAGGAGACCTGATAGAATTAAATAGTTTCTTTGCATAAATTTTTTTGAACCGATGAAATGATTGATAAATCGGTAGATGTGGGGTGCTTGCTCTATTTTGAAATTAATCCTATGCATCAAGGAATTTTTAACTTCAAAAATGACAATTTCATTTTGTCTAACAACAAATCTAAAGACTTTCATTCAATTTTGTAGACACAAATTTTCGGTTTGCTTGGATAAACCTTCCATCATTGCCTGATGAATTTCAACGAAGTCCCGACGTGTACAATATTTGAGTCGCTAACATTAATTGGCGTTTCTTTAATCAAATTGACACCGGTGGGCGTAGCTCAACTGGTAGCGAGGGAGTGCCACAAGGGTTAGGTCTCGGGTTCGAATCCCGGCAACTGCGATGAGGGGTTACTATGCTGAAAAATGCATAGGACTTCTGTAAGTACCGGGGACAGAGCCCCACTCTTTATCTATCAGATTGTGATTATAGTCCAATTTACATCCTCTCATCGTACCGTCCGGTCGGTGTTGGGGGGCCCTCAGGGATGGGGTGTCATCTTTTTTTTTTTAAATCAAATTGACGTGCTTTGAAATTGAAGAGGGGTAGAGACCATTGTCCTTTTGCTGGTCCGTCTCCATCCCAACGATGTCATCCCATGTGGTAGCTTGGACGGTAACAGGTGACCTTTGTACCCGCGACAGACAGGTTGTGGATGGCTTGCTTGTCAGCCATGAGTCCATGACATCTTGTCTCCACGAGAGAGCGTCTATCGTCTGTCGACGACAAGGGCGGACCGTAGTACAGACCCAGGGGGCTACCGCCCCTCCAACAACAAATTATTTTAGTGTATATATATACGAAAAATAATTTTCGCCCCCCTAAAGAATTTTTTTGTTTGAATTACCGCCCTCCCAAGATGAATTTCCTGGGTCCGCCCCTAGTCGACGATGGGCTAAGGGAATGACAGAAAAGAGTAGGTTTTGGGGAAACCATTCCAAATAGTGTAGAAAAAAGTTTACATGACAATTGATTGGCGCCACGCATAAGAGAAAGAAAGATTTAGTTGTGGGACCTTTAACAATAAAAAATACCTCCCTTTTAAGCTTTATACTCCATCCGTCCCACTATGATTGTCACATTTTATCATTTCGATCCTTCCCAAATTTAGGGGGACGGAGGTAGCAATTTATTTTATTAATTGTTCGTTTTTTATAAAAATAAATATATCAAAATTCATAACTTTTTGAGATCTTTAATATGACACCAATATTGCATATATAAACTTAAAAAAAACTAAAGTTATAATTGTTGAATTTTTTTAGATTTAGATTTTTTTAACTAGATCAAAGTTTTTAATTAAGATCTCACCGGCCAAGTACCTTGTAGTCTGATGGCATCACTGCTGATCTCTCAAAGAGGAGGTCGCAAGTTTGAGTCTCATCCCAATTAAGGATATTGACATTAACAAAAGCAGATACCATAATAGGTTTAGAAAAATGTTTTACAAAAAAAAGATTTCACGTTTTTATTTAGTTATTCGACAAATTTCCGTTAAAATAAATCTTCTTTGGGACTTTCGAAATTCACTAGTTTCGAAATTCTTCGGGGCTATTCTGAAACACAATATTTTCCACAACCATTCTCCATCAATAAATCAAGTTATCTACCAATTTATTAGTTTGATCTTGTTTTTCGACTTATTATCTATGTTGTAAAAACCGGACCAGTGAGCGACCCGGTCATGTGACTGGGTCACGGGTCAACCCGGACTCGGAGGGTCAACCCGGTCAAAGCCGGAAAACTGCTCAACAATTATGCGTCTATATAATAATAATAAACATATAATTATATACACTCTCATTATATATTTTTATTTGTATTGTACATTTATAATATAATTTGGCATGATTTTCATTCTTAAATAAATATATAAATATATCACATAGTTTTTCTTTTTAGGGAATTGAAATTGCAATTTTGTTGGTTTAAAAAATGCATTAAAATTAAAAAAGAAATTACTTTTTTTTTGGAAAAGACCGAAAACCGGGTTTTCCCGGGTTTTTCGGGTTTCTTGGGTCGGGTCTGGATCGGATTTTTTCGGGTCAACCGGGTTTTTCCGGTTTTTTACCATTTTCGGGTTTTGAAGAAACCGAACCGGATTTTTGTCCGGGTCACCGGGTTCCGGGTCAACCCGGTCGGGTCGGGTCGGTTTTTTAAACATAGCTTATTATACTTATCAACCAACTTTTTCACCAAACAGGTAACTTTTAATTTCGTGCGCTGGATTGTGTAATAAGAAGGCTCTGTTTGCAACCACTTGTGCTTAAATAAAAGCAATTTTTGGAAAAAAGTGATTAGTAGTAAAAGTTGGTAGTGTTTGGTAAAATAAGTGCTTTTTGTGTAATAGAAAAAGTAAAAAGTAGATTCTACACGAAAACCGAGGAAGTGAAAGTTGATAGTGTTTGAGAAAATAAGTGCTTTTTTCTTAAAAAAAGCCAAAATCACTTTTTTTAATTGATTGCAAACAAACCCTAAGAAAAAGTAAGATTGAAGTTACTTTTCTGACTTTATCCGCTGAAGTTACTGTAGAGAATCATATTAGCTGTTTTTTCATATATTTTTTCTTTATTTTATTAGTAAAACAATTTCAAGTATAATTTTTTTTATAAATCAACAGAATCAGCCAACACGGTCACTTCCACTCTAGTCAGACTTCATAAATTTAAGCAGAATCAACCGAGCTGATGAAAAAATAATAAATTTGGGGTTTCTTTAAGTTTACTCCATACCTCTTTTCGAACAAGTGTAACCAAAAGATGTAAAAACAATAATTGCGAGATCATAATTTTAACGAGTAAAGGGTCAGTTTGGTCCTCGAAGTTGCAAAAAAGGGGTCAAATAAGTCCTTATATAGAAGATTCTGTCCGGACGAGCCATTTGAGGTGGCTCCCTATAGAATTTTTTGATGAAATTTTTTGAGCATCTTATTCATTAAGTCTAGTTTACTCATACCAAATTTCAGCTAACAATTCAATCGGGGAGACATTCAAATGAATTCTTGAAGATAACTGCGCTTTTAACGGCACAGTTATCTTCAAGAATTCATTTGAATGTCTTCCCGATTGAATTTTTATTTGAAATTTGGTATGAGTAAATTAGACTTAATGAATAAGATGCTCAAAAAATTTCATCAAAAAATTCCACCGGGAGCCACCTCAAATGGCACGTCCGGACAGAATTTTCTATATAAGGACTTATTTGACCCCTTTTTTGCAACTTCGAGAACCAAACTGACCCTTATCCCTAATTTTAACACATACGTAGTATATCTACTTAATAAAAATTTAACACCAAAAAACTTCATTAATTGGAATTTCATATTTTTAAATTTTATATGTACAATATTGGTGTCATATGAAAGATAATAAAAATTTATGATTATTAATATTTTTTTTGTACAAAAAAAGAAGAAATTAAAAAGTTATAGAGTTTTAAAAATAGAGGGGATTTTTTTAGGGTGAGACAGATGGGTTTCTAAAACCTACACTTTTTGGAAGAGAATACTCGGAACATACATTGTTTTGTCAAATACCCCGATGGGCTCAGCCTCGGCCCCTGGCCCTGAAGCAGATGGAAGCTCGCCTCTGGGAATCTCCGGCCGTCGATTTGGGTGTTCGTGTATTATTCCGGATGGTGGCCTCACAAATCTGCAGCCGCGATGGACGGTTGTTAATTCTCTCCCGTTCCGGTTGAATCTTTCTTTAAATCCTTTATTGATATTGAGATTGGGCCGTACATCTGATTCGAACTCAATTTCATCCTCGATTTGTAAGCGTTGGTAACGATTAGTCGATTACCATTACCAGCTGTCCAAGGATTTCCGGAATCGGAGCGGTGGTATGTCTGAGTTCGTTTATTGGGGTGAAGGGGGGGTGGTGCTGTCCCCTGTATTTCACCGTGTGCCAGCCATCGTCTGTTTCCCCTGCTTGGGGTTGCTGGTGTGGCCGACTGACCGTATGTTTGACGCTGAAGAGTGTCACTTCTTTCTTGTTGATTTTGGTCCCGTTTTGAACAGGATTCATGATTTGTTTTCATTTTTGGATCGGGCTAAGGGGCTGTAATGGTTTTGTGCGTAACACCTGAGTTGTAATGCAAGTTTTCTATTCCGGCGGGTTAGGTACCTAACATTCATCTAATTTCCATTATTATGTTTGCATTTTTATTTAGTTTTGTTGAATTTTACTTTTGAAATTACACACTTTTATGTAATAATTTAGTTTGTAAAATATTTATAATTTGTTTAGCTTAAGTTTATTCTGAGCTAGAACATGTCCATGATCATTCAAGAGATCATTGGTGAACTCCAAAAGAGGAAAGGAAGGTGCAAAAATGCAAGACAAAAGAGAAGATCCCGATTTTCGAGATGTACCCGGTCGGGTATACCCTATACTCGATAGGGTACCTACTTGTTTTGCATATCCGATCGAATCCAGGAGACAAAGGAACATGCAGGGATATTTTGACCACGATCGAGTGTCGTATCCGATCGGGTAACCGACGCACCCGGTCGGGTATGACCCACATTTCCAGCTTCCGGGAAGCTTCTGAAGGTACCCGACCGGGCACCCTACATGCCCGATCGGGTACACATCCCTACATGCTCCATTTTCCCTATAAATACACTCTTTTCCTTCAGACTTAAATCATCAATTCAGATATACTTCTAAGCTCAGTATAGACAAGTTTTCTCTTTATATTTTCTAGCATGTTTAAACTCCAAATGAGGAGTTGAACCCTTCCATCTTGGTTTTGCTACTTTGAAGCTTAATAAATTGTAAGTTGTGAGTTATTTACTTTAATCTTCTTCCTGAATATTAATTAATTCCTATTCATATTTCATTTTAATATTTTGAGCATTACTTAAAGGATCAACGAGTTTTTTCATATATTAATTATTACTTGAATCGATCGACGAAGACGCTTGTTAATCGTTCGGCCTTTTCACGTTAATAAACTTCGATTATTAATGCATGTGTCTCATGGTTAATAATCTAAGGGGAATTAATTTTATTGATTAAACCAATAAACCGCTCGTGTTGAGGTTATCGATCTCAATCGTTTTCATCTTAAATTTATTGCTACTATCGGGTTAATATATGTCGTGTGTTCTATATTGACTCGGTAGTAAGTTTTATTAATGAACGTGTCTCGTTATTAATAACTACCCTCAGTGAATTGGAGATACTCCTAGATTGAGTATTCGAGAGGAAGATAGTTAAAGATATAACCGGGATCGACGAACATTTCATTAAGTGGATAAAAGCAAAACCAAGTATTCATCTCTATTAATTAAACCACATAAGTAATTCAACTTGGTGTGTAAAGACTCTTTAAGTTCTACAACCTTCACCCCCCCCCCCCCCCCCCCCCCGTTATTAGTTACATAAAAAGAGAAATATCTCTTTCCGTGCAGATACGAACCTTACTTCGTTATACAACGTATAATCGTTATATTGATATTTATTTTGAGTGTACACCACGACAAAATGCTCGTCAGTAGCAACAGGAGCAGCGCCAGTTACGAGATACAGGATTTTGGTAGAAACTTGTACTTGTTATGGGTGAAATTCCTCTGTTCTTCATGAATTTTCTTGCCAAGTATCTGAATTGGGGATGCGTGTACCAGTGGTGATAGAGTATTAATTCTAGAGAGAAGTGAGAGCTAGAGAGAGAAAGTGAGTAATTATATTTCTCAACCCCCTATAACTAGCCCCTTGGGGTCTATTTATAGGTAAAAATGTGGATTTGGGCTCCTAGCCTTGGGCTTAGGAGGCCCATTACAATAATCATGCCTTCTTTTGGCGAAATAGGGCCACTAATGGGCTGAGTACAATACTTAGCAAATAAAGTAGAACAATGCATTCTGCCTGGACGGAGTCTGGCCGATGCGGTGCGGTTGGCCGATGCGGACCCATGGCCGATGCGGCCCCTGGTGGCCTTAGCGGGATGCTGGGCTGATTTGGCTCTAGGCCGTTGCGGGCCCTTACAGGCCACAGCGTGCCAAGTGGATGCCCTGCTGGTATGTTTGTCCTTGGAGTATGTGGGCCATGGGGTCTAGGCCCATATACTCTATCAGGAGTCCCCCACTCTCTGAGCTGAGATGTAGACGAGGCGAAAGGGAGTAATCTTCTTATTCCTCCAGCCGAAGAGGTTTTTGTTTTAATATTAAGACGCAGCGGTCTCGATCCCGTGGGAGTGCTCCTGGGACGAAGCGCTGCATTTCCTTGTTTGTAGACGATGCGATGGATCCGGCGTGGTTGGGCCGGCATGCTTATCGTCATCTGTCGGGGCCGAAGAGATCTCATCTGTTTTTTTGCCGTGGCGGTAACCTTGCTTTGAGGTGAAAATGATCGATCTTGTATCCATGAGGACGATGCGTCTGCACTCTGCACGCCTTTGATATGCTGTGTAGTCGAAGCGTTTGTACGCTGACACTCCACCTGTTTTTATTTGCGTATACCTGCTTTGGTGAGCCGATGCGATCCTCCGTGTAATTGAGGTGGAGTGTTTGCCCATTGTTATTGACAAGTCGCAGCGCACTCTTTGCGTGTTGAGGCCGTTGCGCGCCTTTTGGCCGATAGCTTCTGCTCCCATGCGTAAGGCCGGAGTGTTCCTACCACGTTGGGGGCGAGGATTGATCCTTTACCTTTGTCGTGGACGTTGTGTAGCATTTTTGTCTGGATTTGTCTGAGTTCATCCACGGCCGATGCGCACCCTGGGATGTTTGGGTTGCTTTGGGCCGTTGCGTGCTTTGGTAGCATTTGTTAAGGTGAAATGTTGTCAATTTTGAACCGTAGCGTGTTTCTTGAGTCTGGAGCCGCTGCGGTGTTGTTTCCAATGTTTTTTCCTTAGCGTGTATTCTTTTGGCCGATGCTGTCCCCCAGACCCCCACTCCATTGATCGAAGAGAAAACCGAGGCACAAGGGAGTAGAAGTGGTTTTGAGCCGAAGCGGTGCCCCGTACACTAGTCGCGACTCCAACCCTTAGGCAAACTTGTCCAAGGTAACCCTGTGGGAGAACCCTTGGACGAAGGCCGCGATGCCAGGGTTATCTTCAAACGATTCGTGCAAGTAGCCGCAGCGGTACCATGGGAGATGGGACATTATGTAGCCGTAGCGATTTGCCTTGTTTTTTGAGTGACCGGGACGATGCCCGTGGTAGTATTGGGGGCTTGTTGGGCCATAGTGGTTGGCCTTAGCGTGGAATGTGAAGGGACATGCTTCTGATTGGTACAGGAGAGGTTCCCTCTTCACCCTTTCATCAAGGAATACCTCGACATGGTGGGTCTGCCTCCGGCCTTGTTGACCCCTAACAGCTACTCGCTTATCGTTGGTTTCCTTATCCGTTGCAAGGAGTTGCGCTTCTCGCTGACGACTGCTCTTTTCACGAATCTGTACCGAATAGGCCGAGGAAGCCATCAGAACTACGACGGTTATGCTACCTTACAACAGGTGCCTAAAAGGAGGACTTTTAAGGACCTTCCCTCGTCCATTCATGGCTGGAAAGCCAAGTTCGTGTTTGTCACCCTCGGCCAAGGTGGTTTCTTTTCTTCCGTGGGCCATAGCGGCTTATTTGCACAACCCCCCTTTGGAACGCTGAAATAAGTAACCAAGTGGAGACCTTCATCAAGGGAGGGCCGAGGAGTATAAAGACGTATGTTACGGAGTATAAAATGGCTGCCCTTGGCTTCGTGAGGTACTACTGTCCTAGCGATGTGGACGATGGCTTCTGGACGAAGATCACTGGTTCTTATGAGCAAGCCGATGGGCCCCGTCTAGGCGTGCCTGCTGAGGCCGAAGGTTAACCTCATCACCTTATCCTTATGTAGTGTTTTTATGTTCGTTGTTAACCCTTGTATTTTTGTGTAGGCTTCGATATGGATCGCATGTCTTTCATGGCCCGGGCTGCAAGGAAGGCCGACGTGGAGCTGAAGGCCGCTCAAGCTGCTGAGGAAGCAAAGAAATCGGCTGGCGGTTCTCAGGGAGGTGGTGAGGCCGCCAAGAAACCTGCTGTCAGGAAGAAGAGGGGAGCCGAAGATGGGCAGAAGACTCTGGCCGAGGCGGGCCTAAAGCCGAGCCAAGCTTCGAAGAAGACGAAGCGGGCTCCTGTGAGCGAAGAGGCCGGCGCCCCCCTCTACCCAGGCCGCCGCGGACGTCTAGCTGATCGAGGCCCCTCCCCTGGATGATCTAGTCAAAGGTCCTTCTTCGGCCATGGTTGCTTCGGCCTCTCGGGTGACTCCCGTTACGGCTGCTAGTGCCCGCCTAGAGGAGGCCCTAACCAAGGGAACGTACGAGGTCACCGTACGATATCCTGTGAAGGGCGGTCTTTTCAACGAGACCTTCAGTGGCGACGACGTGCTCGCCCAGGCCATCCCGGACTACGACTGGCAATATCTTCAGCGGCAAGGAAAGCATGTTCGGTTGTATGATAGAGGGTTGGATTACGTCGTCCAGGTAATATGCTTCCCCATACTTGTGTTTTTTCCTTAGTCTTCTGATTTTCCTTTCTTATCTCGAACGTCGCTTCGTCCAGGGGGCCCTCATGATGCGGGAGCAGCATTGGAGGCAAGAGGCCGAGCTAGAGCGGCTGAGGAAAGTGGAGGCCAAGGCTGTTTCGACCGATGAGGCCCTCCAAGATTTGAGGGACAAGGCCAAATCCGCGGAAGAAGAAATGAAGCTTCTTCAGTGCCTGCTTGATGATGCCGAGGCGGCCCGGAAGAAGGCCATTGAGGCTTCCGAAGCCGCTGTTAAAAGAGCCGAGGAGGCCAAGAGTCTTAAGGCTGAAGCCGAGAAGGCTGCTGAGAAGGCCGTAGCTGATTTCACGACCGAGGGGTGGAAAGCCGAAGACCAGCTACCCTTCTGCTATAAGGTGGTGGCTGAGAGGCTCGAAGATTGGACGACGAAAGATCCCTCCGGCCAGGATTTCTGGATGGACGAGATGAAGGGCTATTATTATTATGGCCAGTACTGGATGTAGAAATTGATTTATAGATGACTTCATCGGCGTTTTCACAAAATGAGGCCCAAGGGTCTGAGCCTGCCCCGACGGATGGAAAATCCGGACGAAGACATGAAGCTTCCACTGGCGGAGAGGCAGCCTTCGATCCTTAGCTCGGACGAGGAGGATGAGCCGTGGAGTGACAATGATGATTACCTGCTCGAGGGGCCTACAGACTCCAAGGCTGGCGAGGGTGATGGCGACGACGATGCTGGTAGCGGCAGCAGAGAAGATGTCGCCCAAAGTAGGGATCAAGTCGATGCGGCGGCTTAATTTTGTATCTTAATTTACTGTAGAGGTCGTAGCGCCGAATGATATGTAATGGCCGAAGCGCCCCCCTTTTGTATTTCGAATCAGGAATTAATGATAAACCCTCTTGTCTTTAAGTATGCTTGTTCCGCACCGTTTCGTCTTTATCGCCTTGCCTTTGTATGTGTACTTATTTTTCGCAATTTTTGCTAAGTATCAGGGTTGAACACACTTTGGTTGATTGAGACAAAGCGTACCTTCATCCATGTACTTACGTCCCATCGTCTGTAGTATTGTGTAGTCTTTCCTTGTGTCTAGTATGGGCCGCATCGTGAATGGGTGAATGCTTCGTTCTCGTACTTAGAGTAGTGTGCTTCTTAGAGAAATGAACTGATGTACTTGGCCATTTTTGCGGCCTGAAATGTGGGGATTTTATTTTGTTGCTCGAGGCCGGCAAGTGCACAGTCCGTCGGCTTCCCTCTTTTTTTTTGGGTGTGGCCGAAGGGTTACTGTCCCTTCGTCCACATGCGGCAATTTGTCCGCTACGCTTTTCGCGTGGACTAAGGCGAGGGGGTAATCATGCCCTCGGCTTAGTGTGTCAGTGGCATCTTTTTTGGCCTTTCCTCGTCTATCGGCGACGAGGGACCGGACTAGACATCGTCTTTTGACGGCCGCCCTTTGTGGTCCTGAGTGAAATTTTACTGACTGGAGTTTTTGTAACCTCAGCCTTAATTCAGGCGTGTCGTCCTGCGGTTTCCGCGCGGACGACGCGGTATGCTTCTCCGTTTGAAGACGTTGGACCATACACACAGGTCCTTCGTCCTGCCTATCGCCGGCCGATTTGGGTGTTTCACCGCTTGTGCCGATACGATATTTAGGTGCGCTGTCTATGGGCAGCGGCTTGTGGGCGCGTTGTGTATTGCAACAGCCTTTATGTGCGTTGTTTAGGGCAACGGTTTTGGGTGTGTTGTTTATGGAAACGGCTTTAAGGTGCGTCGTTTATTGCGACGGCTTTGAGTGCGTCGTTTATTGCGACGGCTTTAAGTCGTATCAGTCCCGGGTGTTATCACCACTTAGGCTGATGCGGTTCATAGTGTTTTCCTTTGCTTAGATCTTGGAAGATTTAAATGAAACATGATTTTTTTATTCAATGAGTGGCGCTTAGCCGAGGGTGTTTATTCAATCAATAAGCCGAGGGGTGGGGGACGTTGCCCGCTTCACCACTTCTCGAGTTATTGATAAAATTTCACCAGATGGTGTACATTCCACAATCGTGGTACATCTGACCCATTACGGTTCTTTAGTCTATACGTGTCGGCCTTGATGACGGCACTGGTGATGTAGGGCCCTTCGTATTTGAGGGCGAGGTTTCCTCCTTCTGTTGGTTTGCTTGCTTCCCTTCGGCGGAGGACGTAGTCCCCCACTTGGAATTCACGGGAGCGGACCTTGGCGTCGTAATAGGATTTGACTTGACGTCTGTAGTTTACCGCCCTGAGGTAGGCCATCTCCCGTCTTTCGTCGAAGAGGTGCAGGTCCACCTTCATGGTTTCTTCGTTGGCCTCGGGGTCGTATTGTGTGACTCGTCGGCTAGGAAGCGTCACCTCAGTCGGAGCCTTGGCTTCGAAGCCGTAGCAAAGGGAGAATGGTGTTTCCCCGGTGGCCCTCCTCGGTGTGGTGCGATAGGACCATAGGACGTTGGGGAGCTCGTCGACCCAACTTCCGCCTTCTTCTTCGAGCTTCTTCTTGAGTCCCTCTAAGATGGTTCTGTTGGCGTTCTCAACCTGCCCGTTGGCCTGAGGATAGGCTACGAAGGAGAAACGGTGCTTGATGCCCCAATCTTGGAGGAGGGTTTGGAACGGCTCGGCCTCGAATTGGGTGTCGTTATCCGATATGATCTCTTGGAGCACACCGAAGCGGGTGAGGATGTTCTTGTAGACGAATTTTCGACACCGCGCCCCGGTGATGCTCGCAAGTGGCTCAGCCTCGACCCATTTGGTGAAGTAGTCGATGGCGACGATGATGTATCTGTTGTTGCCCGCGCCTCTTGGTAGTGGGCCGACGAGGTCGATGCCCCATCTGGAGAATGGGATGGTTGTGCTGACCGGTGCGTAGTTGACGGCCGGCCGGCCAGGTGCCCGTTGATAGTGCTGGCATGCGGTACATTTTCGGGCGACCTCAGCGTAATCGCGTGCCATTGTCGGCCAGAAGTATCCTTGGACGACAAGGCGACGAGACATGCTGAAGGGCCCTTGATGTGACGAGCAATCGCCGCAGTGTACCTCTTCCATGGCCAGTTCGGCCTCATTCTAATGGAGGCATCGGAGGAGAGTGTCGTTGTATGATCTCTTGTAAAGCTTGTCACCTTCAATGACATAGCTTGGGGCCCTGAGTTTGGCTAGTTTGGCCCTCTCCTCATCTTCTGGGAGCGCGCCGGAGGTGATGTAGTTTGCAATGTCAGTGATCTAATCCTCCGGCTGGTGTTGTATGCAAAGTATGGGGCTGGCATGAATGATTGACATACTCAGCTCCTCCACCTTAGCTATCTTGGAGATGTGTTCAGGGGTGTCGGAGCTGAGCTTGGAGAGTGTGTCGGCTTCAGCGTTCTCGGCCCTTGGGATCTGAGTGATCTCGTAGGTTTCAAACGCTTAGAGCAATTCCGCAGCCGCCTCCTTGTACTGCTTCATTCTTCCTTCTTTGGCCTCGTATGAGCCCTCCATCTGGCTCACTACGAGTTTCGAGTCGCATCTGATTCTGATGTGACGTGCTTTTAGGCCGGCGGCCAGCCTGAGGCCGCTGAGGAGCGCTTCATACTCGGCTTCATTGTTGGATACTTTGAAATTGAAGCGGATGGCATAGTATGCTCTGAAACCTTCTGGGGAGATGAGGACGACGCCACCCCCCACAGCCTTGGTGGCCGATGACCCATCTATGAAGATGGTCCAGGCTTCGTCAGGTTCGGGGCCGGTGGTGGTGACGGCCGTCTCCCTTGCCGTGCATTCAGTGACAAAGTCGGCCAAGGCTTGCCCTTTGATGGATGGCCTCGGCTTGATCTCAATTTGGTACTGGCTCAAGAATATTGCGCACTTGATCATCCTAGGAGAGCTGGTTGGGCTCCTCATGAGGGCGCCCAACGGCTGATGTGTGAGGACGTTGACGGGGTGAGCCTGTAAGTAGTGCCCCAGCTTCTTCACCGTGTGGACGATGGCCAGCACCGTCTTCTCGATGGGGGAGTACCTGAGCTCGGCCTCCCGTAGCGTCTTGCTGACGTAGAATATTGCTTTTTGCACCCCGTTGTCCTCCCTGATGAGTACGGAGCTGATGGCCGACGTGCTCACTCCTAAGTATAGGAAGAGAGTCTCGCCGGGCTGGGGCTTGGATATGACAGGTGGGGAGGCGAGATATTGTTTCAGCTCCTCAAAACCTTGTTGGCACTCCGTCGTCCACTTGAAGCTGGTGGCCTTCCGCATTATTTGGAAAAAGGGGAGAGATTTCTCAGCAGATTTTGAAAGGAAACGGTTCAGGGCCGCAAGGCGTCCCGTCAGCCGTTGTACCTCTTTTATGTTGTGGGGCGGCTCCATGTTGATGATGGCTTGTATCTTTTCCGGGTTCACTTCAATGCCCCTCCAGCTGACCAGGTACCCCAAGAATTTGCCTCCCTGGACGCCGAAGGTGCATTTTTTTCGGGTTGAGCCGGAGGTTGTATTACTTCATGATCTCAAAGATGCCCCTGAGGTCGTCAGCATGAGTTGTGGATTGTTTGCTCTTGACGATCATATCATCGACGTATGCTTCCATCGTCCGTCCTAGGACTGCTTTAAAAACCCGGGCTACCATTCTTGTATATGTGACGCCGGAATTTTTGAGCCCGAAGGCCATGACGAGGTAGCAAAAGATTCCCTCCGGGGTCATGAAAGCAGTTTTCTCCGCGTCATCTTCATGCATGGATATCTGGTGGTACCCTCTGAACGCGTCGAGGAACGACATCAACTCGCACCCCGCCGTCTCGTCCACCAACTGATCAATGTTGGGGAGAGGGAACGGGTCCATTGGGCACGCCTTGTTCAGGTCGATATAATCGACGCACATCCTGAACGTAGGCGGCTTTTGTGCGAGGACGACATTCGCCAACCACGTGGGGTACTTCACCTCTCTGATGTGTTTGATGGATAACAGCATGGCCACTTCGGCCTTGACAAACTCCCTCCTGTCGGCTGAGAGGTAGCGCTTCTTCTGCTTGATGGGGGAGGAGGCGGGGTCGACTGAGAGCCGATGCGTGATCACCTTTGGGCTAATGCATGGCATGTCCTCTGGCCCCCATGTGAAGACGACGGTGTATGCTCTTAGGACGGAGAGGATGTCCTATCGGATTTGTTGGGGAAGCTGCGTCCCTACCTTCAGTGTGCGCTCCGGCCGAGAGACGTCTAGCGGAACCTCTTCCACGTCTCCGACCGGCTCGGCTTTTGGTGTGTCTTCCTCGGCCGAGGCGGTGGTAATTGTGTCGATCCTTTCCTCGGCCTCGTTGATCTTCCTGGTGAGTTTCAGGTAGCAAGCTCTTGCTATATTCTGGTTTCCTCTAGCGTAACCGACGCCGTTCTTGGTAGGAAACTTGAGGCACAAATGTTTCATGGAGATGATGGCCTCGAGGTCCTCCAAGGTGGGTCGGCCCCAGATCATGTTGTGGGCGCTGTCAAGATTTACGACGACGAATTCCATGTCTACCTTCGCCTGACAAATACCGTCGCCGACTACGACGGGGAGCACTATCGTGCCCTCGTCGTCGACAGAGTCCCCGGTGAAGCCGGACAACGGAGTCCGTATCGTCCTGAGTTCAGCTTTTTTCAGCTTTAGTTGCCTGAATGTGTCAACGTACATCACATTGACGGAGCTGCCAGTGTCGATGTAGTTGCGGTGAATAACGTTGTTGCCAATTTCACACTTGACGACGAGGGCGTCTCTGTGGGGCAAAGGGCCGATGGGGAGATCCCTGTCAGTGAAAGTGATGGCCTCTGTGTGCTGTCACTTCGGCCTGGGGGGAGCGTGGGACACCTCACCAACGTATAGGGACTGGGCCCATTTTTTCCGTTGGGTAGCCGAGTCCCCCCCTGTGTTGCCGCCGTTGATGATATGAATGTGATGCTTCTTCTGGCGGGGCACGTCGTCGTCCTCATCTTCACTGAGGGCGCCAATTTCTCTTTTCTTTCCGGAGGATCCCTCTTCTTTTTGCCGGGGTTAACCCAAGTGTTGCTCTTGGGGGCGCCCTTGACGAATTGGGAGAGTTCCCCCTGCCGGACGAGTCCGTCAATGTGCTTCTTCAGTGTCGTGCAATCATCGGTTTTGTGGGATGTTTGGCGATGGTATTTGCAGTACATTCCCCCCTTGTGGACTGCAAATATCTCCTCTTCCGATCTGGGATCCTTCACGATAAGGCCCTGTTCTTCGGCGTGGTCCAGGATGACGCTCACCGGGTGGGTGAGGAAGATACGCTGTGCCTCCATTTTCGGGCGCCATGCACGGTCTTCCCTTCGCTGTCCGTCGGGCGGCTCCTGGTGCGCCTTCTTTCGCTTGTTCTGATCTCTGTTGGCTGGGACGCCGGGGGTTTTGACCAAAGGGTCATTCTTCCTTGGCTTTTCCCCGCCCCTCTTTTGGCTCAGGAGCTCGTCGGCATCAGCGTGCCTATCTCCGCGCCGGAGCGCCACGAGGCATGACCGCGGGGGCTCAGTGAATAGACTCCGGGCGAAATGGCTTGGCCGAAGTGCTCCGCGGAGGAAGGCCAAGAGAGTGCGTTCGTCGGCTCCCTCACACTCATCCACCTCCCTCGTCCAACGGTCGAGGAAGGCGCGGAGTGTCTCCTCTGGCTGTTGTTTAATGGTGAGGAGGTGAGCGAAATGCTTCTTTATACGCTTCCTTCCGGCAAAGTGGGTGAGGAAGCGTTGAGCCAGGTCCTGCCGTGAGTCTACGCTCCCCTCTGCAGGTTGTTGAACCAATCATACGCTGCCCCCTCTAGGGTGGAGAGGAACCAGCGGCACATGTATTCTTCCGATGCGTGAGTCATCATCATGTTGTTCTGATAGCGAGTGAAGTGCTCTTGGGGGTCGGTGCGGCCGTCATATGGCTTGATCGGGTTCCTTTTATACTTCTCTGGGATGGGAGCGGAGAGCACCCTCGCGGAGAAGGGGGTCCTCGTCCGTATCTGGATGACGGGCTCGTCTCGCCTATCAGCCAACTCCCTTTCTAGAGCGCTAACCTTGTTGAGGAGAGCGTCGTAGTTGGGGGGGTAGGCTGTGTGGGCCGAAGCGGCTGCTGCAAGTCCCGCGGCCTCCCGGGCCTCCATGTCGGCCAAACGCCTCTCCAACCGGGCGATTAGTTCATCTTTAGGGTCCCTGGCGGCCGCGGCGGCATCCGACATGGGTTGGGCCCGGGCTGCATGGGCCCGGTTGATCTGGTGACGGGCGTCATCCTCATGTAACTTTCCTTTGCCTTTGTCCAGTTTAGGCTAATCCGTTGTCCGGGAGTCGGATCCGAACCTTTCTTTAGGTGATCCTGGTTCGCGACCACCCAACCAATCCGCCACCCTTCCCGTAGGTACCCAAGGGCTCGCGATGTCACCCAACCTATTGAAGGCCGAGATTTTACTGCGAGGCTGGGCCGGTGTATCCCGGGTAGGAGAGGCGGTATGGGAATGGGTGTCCACGACGACAACACCCTCATCATTGCCGAAGAAAGTGACGCCAAGCGGGTGAGGTGGCGGTGGTGGCACCGTTGCGACCTCCCCAGTCACCGGAGTGTTGTTCTCCCTGGTCTTTGCGACAAGAGCGCTGACCACGTTAGGGTCCTGGAGGATGCTGGCGACAATGGCCGATAGGGCTGCCGGGTTGATTTGGGGGACAACAGGGGGAGACGTCTGTTGGCCCGAAGCGCGGTCAGCAGCGCGCCTGTCCTCAAGCCCGATTCGGGCGTCCTGGGCAATTTTGTTGAGCTGGTTGCGGAGATCATTAGCTGGGTGCTCGATCCCCTGGACGTTCCCATCCTCAGGGATGAGGTCGTTGGGGACGTTGTCAGCAACGTCGCCTTGTCCCTCTTGGTACTCCTGGTTCACAGGGGCGTTTCTACCGACGAGGTTCTTTGACTTGGTTCTTCCCATAGTTAGAGATAGCGTCTGGTAGTGACGAAGGGTTCTCACTTAATCTTTTCTAATTCTAACGAGAGCACCAAATGATAGAGTATTAATTCTAGAGAGAAGTGAGAGCTAGAGAGAGAAAGTGAGTAATTATATTTCTCAACCCCCTATAACTAGCCCCTTGGGGTCAATTTATAGGTAAAAATGTGGATTTGGGCTCCTAGCCTTGGGCTTAGGAGGCCCATTACAATAATCATGCCTTCTTTGTGCGAAATAGGGCCACTAATGGGCTGAGTACAATACTTAGCAAATAAAGTAGAACAATGCATTCTGCCTGGACGGAGTCTGGTCGATGCGGTGCGGTTAGCTGATGCGGACCCATGGCCGATGCGGTCCATGGGTCGATGCGGCCCCTGGTGGCCTTGGCGGGATGCTGGGCTGATTTGGCTCTAGGCCGTTGCGGGCCCTTACTGACCGCAGCGTGCCACGTGGATGCCCTGCTGGTATGTTTGTCCTTGGAGTATGTGGGCCATGGGGTCTAGGCCCATATACTCTATCAAGTGGTGTTGGTGTTGCTTGGTCCCGTCGATGTCCCAGTTGTAGCGAGCAGAGATCCTTTGTGAGTAGCAGCAACAGCTGTCCATGAGAAGTAGGTGGTCATCCGCCGAAGAAGGTTATGCCGGAATTCCATACATTATGTTAATTAGTCGCTGGATTTTTAGAGAGATAGAGGAGAATGTATCTCTCTTCATTTTTTTTTCTTATTTGAGACACCTTCTGGATACATCCGTTTAGCATGTGCATGCGCAGATTAGAGGGCCACGGGGTTTAGATTGTTTGTTGACTTCTGTTTACGCTCGTCCCCAATCCATTAGCTGAGAACTTGTTTGGGACAATCTTCTACGTCTTGCGGGCAACACCACACTTCCCTGGAGTTTGATTGGAGATTTTAATGTTATCATTGCAGGCGAGGAGAAACAGGGTGGCGTAGAACTTGATCCCACTCGTGCGGTGTCTTTCCGACGATGTATGAATGACGGTTTCTTGGTGGAAGTGGGATTCTCTGGACCGCCATTTACCTGGTTCCAGGGTAACCAGATTCAAGCTTTTCCCAACTCGGTCCTCCACCACCTTCCCCGTGTTCGCTCTAACCATTAGCCCATTCTACTCGATTTTGCGGATTCAACGCCACCTGCCTCCTGCCGCCGCCCGTTCCACTTCCTTGCATCTTGGCTTTGCCATGAGGAATTCCCCTGCATTCTCTCCTCCAATTGGAAGCCGGACAAGAATTTGCCGCAAACACTCCACCACTTATATGGACGCCTACATCGCTGGAACCAAGAAGTTTTTGGACACATTCTTACCCATAAGCGATCTCTAATGGGTTAACTCTCTCAAATCGAAATGATTAACACCACTAGTGTGACCCGAGATTCGGTATTGCTAGAGCAGAAGACCATAAGAGAGCTGGAAACTGTGATATGGCAGGATAACGTGCTATGGCTTCAGAAGTCCAGGAAAAAATGGATCTTGGATGGAGATCGCAACACCAGGTGCTTCCATCTCATGACCCTGAAACGTCATTGTAGTAATGAGATTGTCTCTCTTTTGAGTATTTGGATCGATGATCCCTTTGAGCTATAGATTTTAGCGATGAGCTTCTTTATGGACTTCCTTCAGGACACTACGCCCAACAATTTACCCCATCGCGCGGCATTCGCTAGGGAAGTCCACACTCCCATTTCCTTTTTACTCTTTGTATTGAGCGGTTGTGCCACCTTATTGATAATGTCATTGTTGAAGGGATGTGGAAGCCAGTCAGGCTTGCCCGAGACGGTCAAGACTTATCAGACTTGTTTTTTGCTGATGGTTTGGTTTTATTTACCGAAACCTCCACCAAGCAGGTTGGAGTAGTTCTCGATTGTTTAGACAGGTTTTGTGGGGCGTCTGGCCAGACGATTAGCAAGGAGAAATCCGTCATCTTCTTCTCCAAAACAGTTCTTTGAGATGTGTCAGGGAGGTAGCGGGCAAGCGTGGCATTCCTATAACTCAAAATTCGGGTCCCTACCTGGGGAGTCTCAGTTCTTCATGAACACATTTCCAACTCAACCTACATGGACGTTCTTGACAGGATGGTTTGCAAGCTTGCAGGATGGAAAGCTTCTTCGTTAGCATTGGCTAGTAGAGTTACTTTGTCCCAATCTGTTCTCTCAACTATTCCATCTTATATTATGCAGACTTCTGTGTTACATAGTCATATTTACAATGAGATTGACAAGCGCATCAAGCAATTCGTCTGGGGATCTACGACGAATGTTCGGAAAACTCACTTACTCTTATGGGAAAGATCTGCCTACCCAAAAACCAAGATGGTGTGGGCTTGCGCATGGCACGAGAGCTCAATCGAGCGTACATGGTAAAGTTAGCTCACCCGTCAAGACGATGGTAGATGTCTCTTGGCCGTCACCACCACCCGAGTGGATTGCTCTTAATACGGACGGGTCAGGTATACTTGAAATCGGGAGAGTAGCTGCAGGAGGCTTGTTCCGCGATGCTAATGGTCTTTTCTTGCCAGCTTATAGCATGAACCTTGGTATCTGCTCGATCACCAGGGCTGAATTGAGAGTTTCTGTAACAAGATTTCAGTTGACTTGGGAGAACGAATATAGGAAGGTACGAGTTGCAACTGGATTGGCGTGCTGCAATCCAGCTTCTGATAGGGGTCGGGGATATCACACACCAACACTCTTCTGAGGTCGCCGATTTTCATGAGCTGTTGGATTGAGATTGGATGATTAAGGTTGAACACATTTATCAGGAAGGCAACCAGACTACTGACTATTTAGCTGATCTTGGTCATAGTTTACCACTTGGTGTACATGTTATTTCTAGGAATGATCCTACTTTGTCGTCTCATTTACAATTTACAAACATAGGATAGCTGACAAGATTATATTAGTCACCTGTAGAATAGGATTCTAATATCCCTCTCTAAAAGTGTTGATAGAGTATGAAAGTTTTTTGTACTGTATGCGTCCTTCAAAGACCACAGGGGCCTGCATTTTTCGTAATTAATTGGATATTTGTTAGTTTTTCCATGTTCCAAGTGGCAAAGTGAACCAAAGTTAATAAAAAGTACCCTTCGCAGGTATTCCAATGATATGGGAAACGAGCCTTGTTGACATGCAAAGCTTTTCTAACTTCAGGCTTGTTTAAATAGGCCAATGTATTTTCAGAAAGGCAGGGATAACCAATGATGTTTTCTCTAGCCAGCTACACAGTTGAAAACAAAACTTACTTGGAATTATTTGGACAAGTTAGTATATAAGAATTCATTTAAATTTAACAAATAGACAACATGAAGTGCTAGTTTGGTAACAATAAAATTGGCCCAGTTTGCTGAATTGATAAGATGTACTTCTTTAATTTATATTCCATTAATACAACAACAATATTCAACCCGTCTCAAAAGAGTTAGGAGTTGATTAACATGAATCATCATATGAAATCAGAACTAAAAAGATACTCCCTTCGTCCCACTAACAATGGGACAAGAGGGAGTGACACGCAAATTAATAAAAAATGGTGTATGTGTGGTTGATATTGAATTGATAAAGTACGAATAAAGTAAGAATGATTTAGAGTTACACAAACTTTACCAAATTTGGTATGAGACAATCTATATATATATATACAAGAATGTTCAGGTCCGAACGTTCGGACGGGAGCCTCCGTCCGAACACCGCCGTTTGGGGCGGTTACCGGTGGAATTTTTTGATGAAATTTTTTGAGCATGTTCCTCATCAAGTCTAGTTTGTCCATACCAAATTTCAGCTCAAAATTCGATCGGGAATGCATTCAAATGATTTTTTGAAGTTGACTGCGTCAAAATATACATATAAAAACGCAGTCAACTTCAAAAAATTATTTGAATGCCTTCCCGATCGAATTTTGAGCTGAAATTTGGTATGGACAAACTAGACTTGATCAAGAACATGCTCAAAAAATTTCATCAAAAAATTCCACCGGGAAGTGCCCCAAATGGCCATGTTCGGACGGCGTTCGGACCGGGGACTACTGGACAGGATCATTCCTCTCTCTCTCTCTCTCTCTCTATATATATATATATATATATATATATATGTATTCTCTCCATCCACTTTGCTCTCTTCAAACTCATTTAAGTTAGGGAAAAGGTGCAAATAGACCCATGTACTAACCAAAAAAGGTCAAATAAGCCCTTATTTAGGAAGTTCTGTCCGGACGTCGTCATTTGGAGTGGTTCCCGATGGAATTTTTTGATAAATTTTTTTTAGCATCTTATTCATCAAGTCTAGTTTACTCATACCAAATTTCAGCTAAAACTTCAATCGGGAAGGCATTCAAACGAATTTTTGAAAATAACTGCGCAGTTAGAAGCGCAGTTATCTTCAAGAATTCATTTGAATTCTTCAACTTATGTACAAACGACACTAATTTACATGTCTTACCGGATTTGATGAAACACAGTTTGGAGAAAGCAAACTATCCATTTCAAAGTCCTCCCCAGTCTCCTCAAACATCTTATCTGAAACTATCTGGCAGTCTTTAGAGAATTTACCATGATGCCCCTCGTAGAACTGTTTTGCATAGCTACAAACCGTCTTTAGCATAGTGTACAACTCTTGAGATATGACTCCGTGGTACCAAAGATAGTCAGCTGTATCTATACCCGGAGTACCCATACCCGGGTTCCCAAGCTGCAAAGGTTAAACTAAAAAGTTTTTCATTATGAAAACAAAATGGTTAACTCAGAATGTAAGGAATACTCACAGCAATGCCTTTTAACTTGATCGGCATGGCATCATTGTGTTGATTGTATTCAAGCATTAATGCAGCAAGTTGCGGTATTAAGTGCCCTGTAAACATTATGTGTAGAAATTTAAATGACTTCAACTTGAAGATAATAGGGTAAGAAGAGAGTACACAAATATAAAATTGTTTACCTGCGGAACCATCCCCAGCCAAGTAAAAATCTGAGTTTCTGTACTTGGGAAATTTCTCAAACCACTTGAGGACGAACTTCATATTTTCATGCACTAGATAATTGTGTGCCATAAGGATTGGATCAAACAAGTGGCAGGAATATATCTCATACAATCACAAAAGGGCTTAACAAAATGGTAAAGTGATTAGTACCTGTCATGCTATGATTCCATTTGGTGTAGTCTGAGTCAGTATTAGAGAAAGAAAACCCAGTTCCGATTGGGGAATCCACGTATAACATGTTCGACACTGCTTATTTCAAGAAAGACCTATTCATTACATCTAATTTTGAAAAAACGATATGATGCATATATATGTTCATGTGAGAATTGTTCTTCCATAGGAAATAAGAATGATGTAAAGTGGTGCACTATTTACACATTTTGTGATAAGATAATGCCACTGAATTTTCAGATTCATCATTATACATTTTATAGATCTCAAACGAAAAAAATATAAAGGTCTCAAATGAAACGCACCAAGTTCATGATTCTAATTTGCCACATTTGCTGTTGATCCAAATTATATACGAAGTACATGTCAGTGTGTGAATTTGCTTTTGCGTGTTTGCATTTGTTTGTGTACATTTACACACATTAATCATTGAAAGCAAATGAGCCAAACATTAAGACTTACCTAAGTTCCAAGAAAATGGATTTAGTATCAGTTTCCCGTCTTTTGCAGGCCTGAATGGACCATTTTCAGTGAACAAAGCATTGCCAGACGAAGAACAGCCATGTGCTGATCGATTTTACCAGGATACAGACATGTGAATTCAAACGTTAAAACAAATTCGATCTAAACTAGAAAACAGGATAACATACCTCCTCCAAGCCAAAGAGTAAGAGGGAGGAGGGTTGGCGAACGTTTTGATTGGGCTTCGACGAAATAGTAGAAGAGCGATCTTCCATAATAATCATCCGATACTATGTAGCCGGAGAACTGCTTAAAGGTAACATTGACGGTTTGTCCAGGGAGAGAATTTATCTGCTCCGAAATCGTAGTTGAGAAAAGGGAACACAAAGTATAATAGATCATGAACCATAAGAAGGCCATTAGTTGTTTACTTTTTTGTACAATTGTCTTTTTTATGGATGCACGTCCTTTATTTGAGCACTAGCAAAGCAAACGATTAATAATAACCAACTAAAGCCACGACTAATGCGTGGTTTGAACAGCCCATATTACTCCAGTACATGCAATTAAGCTCCCTCACTCTGGGGCCTTGGTAGTTTATTTGACTTGGCACTAACAGCATTTATAAATATTTCTTGATAATTCTAATCTAGACCTCCACAAATCAGGTCTAAAAAGGAAAAATGGAAACTAATAATCCAACATTTTAGCGGTGTTTATGAAATTAACTAATCTCTACTGTAGGGCATATTTCAGCTTAGCAACAATGGAGATTGAAGAACAAGAAGGAAGATAATTCTGGAAAGATGAAATTGAGAATTGATTGAAAGAAAGTTCAGCAAGCGTACATTTTCAATTGTTCAGACTTAATATATATATATATATATATATATATATATATATATATATATATATATATATATATATATATATATATATATATATATATATATATATATATATATATATATATAGGGTAAGGTTCAAGTGAGAAGAACCCTTTGGGTGAGAAATGAGAATGAATCTCAGTCATTGGATTCGACTAAGTTGCAGTAAAAGACACTTCATGATGCACTGAAATATGCAATCTAGCACGGTGGCATTTCTGTAAATACTTCTGAAAAATCCGTATTACACGTGTCTAGTGCAACATGAAGCTATTTCGGTGCAACGCCGTCAAATATTAGTGCAACATGAAACAGTTTTAGTGCAACATGTGCAAAATTTAAATATTACTGCAACATAAAGTCAATTTTAGTGCAACTACATAAATCTAATGGCTGAGATTCATTCTCATTTCTCACCTGAACCAATATATATATATATATATACTAGCGGATTACGCACTACGTGCGAATAATGCCCAATATTTCCATATTTATTTCAATTTATTCTTTCATTAAGAGTATATAAAAGTTTTAAATGAAACACGCTTTTAGGTTTTTTGGACTCTGTCACTGGCTACTTGGTCAGAATGAAATACAAATGTACACTTCTTTACTTTACATATGCAGTGTTAAAAATATATAGCTGCAATTGTAGGCTTGTGGGTTGTGGCACACAATAAAATAAAAGTTGTGATACATTTTTTTTAATACTACAACGTATTAAATTAAAAATATTAAAAATATAGAATGAAAAATATACACTCGTTAATCAGTATTCAACAGCCAGTACTAATATTTTCTTCCCAAGCCTCAAAGTGTGAACTGTGAAAGAGTGTGAACGTCATCTCCACATATGTACCCTTATACAAAAGGCAACTCGACTCAATAAATTACGATACTTGCATCATTCATCAGTCAATTGTTTTTCTCATAAAGCTATAGTAAATATTTATTTACATGTGATATAGGACAAAACGTAGATTTGACATACCATAGCAAAAATAAGAGGGGGTTATATAGTGTGGTATTCTCAGGCTTAAGTCAGCTTTCTCCGTAAGATTGAAACTCCTTTGGATTGTGAGAAGCCCTTCACTCTATAAAAAAACAAAAAATCGCCTTTGGAGGATTGCCATCAACAAGAGAACTTTCAAATATTTCATATTTATTTGCATTTTTGCAAAACCTGTTCCAGAAGAAAAGTTATGGTGTTGTAGTTTGAGACATGTCCGAAAACATTTCTACACCTCATAGTAACACTCGTAACAGATAGTTTGGCGGAGTTTACTCACATGATATATATAAGTTTTCAGCTAAAAAACGATTTTGGACTAAATTTACCACTTCCAAAATGCTTAATTTCAACTCAAGTATAAAACCTATAGTTCTAAATCCAAATGTGTTGGAGCGTGCTTTTTAACAAAACATAAATGCTTTATTTATATGTTAGTCATAAGCACTTTTAAGCGCTTCTCTAAATAATAACGATTGCTGATTTCAAAAATAAAACACCGAGTGTTTTTTACAATTAAGATATTTTGTGTTCTCCACCGAATGCTTTATTTTGAAGAATAGGTTCTTCTTTTATTATTGTTTTTCTTTCTTTTATTTTAAAAACCCATTGGTTGATTAGGATTGATCTCATTAAGACCATGTTATGCTAGTTTTTCTTCCCTTGTCAGGATTTCAGCCCCTCAATTCAATAAATAATTTTTTTTCCTATTTGATCAGATTATTCTCCATGTCTAAATAGTTGCTTCATAACTTACAGGACAATCTGTTTGATGTTCCAAAATGTTTGTGTAAGCATGTGTGAAAGAACTGTTGCTCTCCGAAGAAGCAAGCTCTTTTAAATCACAAAGTACCCTTAATCTATTCTCGACTTAATGCACTAACCAACTAATACAAAAAAAACTACAAGTCAGTACAGGCCTTTAAGGATGTACGTTGTACACATTTTAAATTTAAACACTGAAAGCTATGTGAGCACAACATTTATAGAAAATGCTAGGTAACCTATACCGTGTATACTTCAAAATCTTTGGTCTTGGAAAAAGGGAACTTCTTGTTGGGCAAAATTCATGAATCATATGAAAGAAAAGGGGACATGAGGCCTATGAATAATAACTATAGTATCTGTAAACAGTTAAGTAGAATAAATGACCAAGGAGATGGATTAACTAAGTTAAATATAACAAAGTAGGTAATACTTAACTGGAAATCAGAAGGCTCAGGCAAATTCAGGGTTTTTTTAGTTAATCCAATGTATCCTTTATAAAAGCAACAGCTATTTAACTATAATTATATGCTGAGAGAGTTGTAAATATACATTGAGAAGGTAGTTGGGATGGATTAATGTGTTTTTAGGTGGTCTACATGTTTGGATTTTTCGAAACTACAATGACTTTAAGATGTAACTGAAAATGATTTGTTTAAAAACATTGTGGGTTGTTTATCCAGGCTAATCTTTGTGTTCTTGTTTTTCCTTGAACTTTAGTACATCAGCAAATTAACCTATGCTAATTTATATTGTGTAAAGAGAAGTTTTTTCATTTCTAATTCAACAAATTGGCTAACAAAACTTCAGCAAAACATTTTTATGCAGACTATATAGGCTAACAAAAGTAAACCCCTTAGTGTTTGTGGGTTTGTTAGTTGGTTTGTTTTTATAGAACCTATCCTTATTATTTTTTTGTCATGTATTTAGACCCATTAATTTTTTTAAAAGCCGGAATACTCCAAAATGGCTGAAATGGGACTAAGTAATTCTTGTCACTGTATTTAGTGTAAATTCAATGTAAAAATTGAGCAGTCCTCTTTTAGCAATTTTGACAAACACGTTGGATCCATTTTTTTTAAAATTGTTTTCGTAGTTGACAGAAAGCTTGAGTTTGGCATTTTCAGATTGTTTTTGGTTCGTAACATAGACCATTGTACTGGTGATAGAACTCACTCTGCTTAGGAATGAATGCAGAATAAGAAAACAGGGAAGAGGATTCACAGATTTTGCTATGGGCTGGGATTTGTACTCTAAATCAAACGGCTGGTATATTTATAAATTCCTTATGTAATACGATAGTAACTGATATGTAGTTTAATTTTGAAATTACGAAGTTGTTTTGTTGTTGGCGGTGGAATCATGCAATGCTATGTGCAGCGATGTAGTATTCTAGTCAATTGGTAGTTGCATCACTTGCATGTGTAGTTTAATATTCCCTATATTTTTGTGTGTGATATGGGCAGTTAGTTGTTCAAATCTGTAAAATGTAGCAGTCTACTGGCCTTTTAGGCATTCTTACGAGCACATTGGATACAACTGACTTCCTTGCAGCGTACAATTTCTTTAGAGACCTGGGTAAAGGTCTTAAACTGTACACGTTCAATTACTGGTGGGATTTGTGTTAATTTGAAAACATGATAAGGAGTAGTTGCAGCCGTATGTTATAAAAAGTTTGGAAAGAGCAGGAACACAAGTAATTACAAAGTAGGGTGTACCTTGTTGAAGAGGAGCATGGACCAGTAAGACCAAGAAAGATGAGAAGAATAGCAAGCCAAGAGAAGAGAGTATATGTGCAGAGGCATGGCAACAGAGTGATTGAAATTATACGAACAAGGCTGGAAGCAGCTGTTGGCGAGTGGTTGTGAAGTAACCGCCTCAAACCGATTAGGTGTGATGAGTAACGGAAGGCATGGCAACCGAGAAGACAGAAGTCATAGTTAAATTTAGACGCCCTTAACGGAAAAAGAACCACGCTAACAGAAGATGGCGCTTATAATATAAGGAGGGATATATATTCACAAATTAAGTCAACTATCTAACTGAATACAACTAATTATCTAACAGAGTGCCACGTCAAATCTTTAGTATGGGTATAGCTTGCTTAGTTCCACATTCCCCCCTCAAGCTGGAATGGATGGAAAGAACTTCATTCCAAGCTTGACAGAAAGAAACTTGTGTTGCTCAGCACCAAGAGGTTTTGTCATAATGTCAGCTAATTGCAAACTTGATTTCACATGTTGTGTTAAAAGAAACCCTTCCTGTTGTTTCTCTCTAACATAATGACAATCAACATTTAAATGTTTAGTTCTCTCATGGAAAACTGGGTTCCGAGCAATGTGTTGTGCAACTTTATTATCACAAAAAAGATTGATGGGTAGTGGAACTTGAATTTTTAGATCTGTGAGTAATCTTTCTAACCAGACCATTTCACTTGCAGTATAAGACATGCTCCTGTACTCTGCTTCTGCTGTACTGTTGCTAATAGTCTTTTGTTTTTTTAGTTTTCCAGGATACCAATGAATCATCAAGGAAAACACAATATCCACTCAATGATTTACAACTGAAAGCACATTGTCCCCAATCAGCATCACTATAAGCTTTCAGGTAAAGATCTGATTTAGCAGAGTAAAATAGACCAACATTTAGAGTTGTCTTCAAATATCTAACCACATGCATTGCTGCCTGTAAATGTGATATTCTTGGTTGACTCAAGAATTGGCTCAAATGTTGGACTGAATATGATATGTCAGCTCTTGTTAGGTTGAGATACAACAGTCTTCCAATTAATCTTCTGTAATAATCTGAAATGGGTAGTAAATCTCCTTGATTAATAGATAATTTCAGTCCCTTTGGTAATGGAAAATGAGTATCTTTGCAATTTTCCATGTTTAGATCTCTGAGAATGTCAATGATATACTTCCTTTAATTGATGAGTAATATTCCTGTCTCATTTCTTGTTACTTCTATCCCTAGGAAGTATCTCATTAATCCCAGATCTTTGATAGTAAATTTCTTATCAAGTCCCTTCTTCACAAATATCCACGACAAACTTACTTTACAATTCCCAAATAATTTGGCTCGGAATTCACTTGGCACGGATTGTGGGACGGCTACTGTCGGGTTGGCCAAACAAAAAACCGTTTTGTTGGCTCGGATATTTGTCGAGCCAAACCTGAATCCAATTTCCACATTTTATCCGGAAGGTTGGTACGGATAAATCCGTGCCAAAATGAATTGTTAAAAAAATGTATACCGTACATATGTACGGAATACCGTATGTTTTGAATTGTTAAAAAAATGTACATCCCGTACATATGTACGGTGTACATTTTTGACTCAAGAATTGGCTCAAATGTTGGACTGAATATGATATGTCAGCTCTTGTTAGGTTGAGATACAACAGTCTTCCAATTAGTCTTCTGTAATAATCTGAAATGGGTAGTAAATCTCCTTGATTAATAGATAATTTCAGTCCCTTTGGTAATGGAAAATGAGTATCTTTGCAATTTTCCATGTTTAGATCTCTGAGAATGTCAATGATATACTTCCTTTAATTGATGAGTAATATTCTTGTCTCATTTCTTGTTACTTCTATCCCTAGGAAGTATCTCATTAATCCCAGATCTTTGATGGTAAATTTCTTATCAAGTCCCTTCTTCACAAATATCCACGACAAACTTACTTTACAATTCCCAAATAATTTGGCTCGGAATTCACTTGGCACGGATTGTGAGACGGCTACTGTCGGGTTGGCCAAACAAAAAACCGTTTTGTTTAATTGCTCGGATATTTGTCGAGCCAAACCTGAATCCAATTTCCACATTTTATCCGGAAGGTTGGTACGGATAAATCCGTGCCAAAATGAATTGTTAAAAAAATGTACACCGTACATATGTACGGAATACCTTACATTTTGAATTGTTAAAAAAGTGTGCACCGTACATACATACGAAATGTACATTTTTTTTATAGAATCATTATAAACAAAACAACACTAATGGAGAGCACATGCAATATAGAACACATTATAGAGCACATTATAAAGCAAATGAAAGAGCAAATAAATGAGCAAATGTACAGAACATGAAATTATTACTGCAGTCCATGCAGATAAACCATTGCCAAAACAATAGTAAAAATGGCAAATAAATTGCCAGAAGGTGTCCAGAACTAGTACATAAATTAAAATTGTTTTTTCATCACACAAACATATATATCTTCCAGCCGCACTTCATTCGAGTCATGGAGCCCATTCATTTGGGCGGAGGTCGGGGTACGAAAATCCGAGAAATCAGGTAGCGGGACGGAAAGGTTCACACTTCGCACTTGTTCCACGTACGCCGTAAAAACGGAAGTCATGTTCGCCATCTGAGTTTGCCACTGCTTTTCCTGCTGTGCAAATTGGGCTTCCAGTTGGTCCTTGATGCGGGAATCAATTTCCTGCTGAGTTGGCACCGATATCTTGCTAGAACATTCAACGTCCGACATACACCTTGTCAAACACTTCAATTTTCAAGGGAGGCATATTCAACTACTTCATCTCCGAATTTAAACAGTACGATGCAGTTCATTAAAGGTAAAAAAAATCATTGAATTTATTTTGAAATTGATAACAGAAATCTTACCAGCCTTTCAACATGCGACGAAACCGGTACCCTGCCACTTCGATATATCGCATCAGAGGCCCAATACTCTTGTAAAAGCTTCCTATCTCTCCTTTACCAATCCAATCCGGCTTCTTGTTGTCCCGCCTAGCTCTACCAATGTTTTTGCTCAACCATTCAGAGGCCCGAGACTTGAACTTCTTTTTCATTTTGGTATCAAAGCAGACATCCCACTCATATTTTCTCTGATAACTAAAAAACAAGTTGATCAACATCATAACTCACAATCTGTCAAATAAAAACTAAGTGTAAGTACCTTTAACATACCTGAAACAGTTCCCACCAATGGTTGCGTTGATCAGCATCCGCATTCATATAAGAACGCCATGGCCCGTGAAAATGGTTAGTCAGGATTGAAATGATGTCTTTGAAGACAGTAGGATTGCTACATCATAAAAGCACATATTAGTAATGTATAGGTAGAAATTCTTTATATAGAATTACCTAATGTTGTATTACTCTTTACCTTCTCATTTCAGTGGGTGAAATGAAGGTCTTCTTCTGAACAGATTCATCAGGGGTCGAAGAATCAAAACCATTTGTATGTTCATCAGAAAGGTGTCGGGATTGGACAGACTCATGTGAATAAGCTAGAGAAGAGTTCTGCTCATTCCGGATTATGTGTGGGCTACTTCCACCTCCCCGACCTCCGTGGGAGGAAGTAAACGAAGTGAATGAACCTCTACGAGCAGATATTCTATTGAAACACAGCAAATTTATAGAAAGAGACAAATGAAAAAGTTAGGTTATAGCCAAATAATAACAAAATAGAAGTATAGATTTAATAATATAAACAGATTGTTACACCTAGTAATAAAAGGAGGAGTAATACACAGATTGTCAAACTCCTAGATTGTTAAACCAACTTATACTTATACATCATGTATATACGGTTTTAATGCTGTCATAATTATTAGAATTGGTTTAACAATATTAATACTTAATTTATGAGTTTGGGACTCAGAGGTATATAAGAGTTTGGAATTTATATACTTCGTTAATAAATACTTCATTTATAATACTGCATGGACAAAATGATTACAATACTTCGTTTTTAATAAAAAAAATTATAAACAACTCATTGTAATACTTCGTTTATTAATTTATAAATACTTTATAAATACCACTGTCATAATTTTAAGTACTTCGTTTCTAATTAAAAAATTATAAACAACTCATTGTAATACTTCATTTATAAATACCACCATCATATTTTTAACTTGATTATAATACTTCGTTTCTAATAAAAAAATTATAAACAACTCATTGTAATACTTCGTTTATTAATTTATATATACTCTATAAATACTACTGTCATAATTTTATGTTGATTATAATACTTCGTTTATAATTAAAAAATTATAAACAACTCATTATAATACTTCGCTTGTAATTAAAAAATTATAAACAACTCATTGTAATACTATATAAATACCACTGTCATAATTTTATATTGATTATAATACTTTATAAATAGTTTATAAATAATCATTTATAAACTTCTTTTTTTTTAAAATAGTTGTTTATAAATAACGAGTTTATATTAAACTTAAAATAACAATACGTTTAAAAAAGTTAATGTGAAAAACCGTAAACAATAGAGTATTTAGAGGACATGACCTGGACACAGAGCGAAGATGATGGCCAGTGAGGGAGAAACAAATGTCGTCGTGGCCGGAGGCGGCTAGAAACACGGCATGCAAGAGGGGGAGGCGGCTTGAATGGAGCCAAGCGTCGTCGGTGAATGCCTCGTCGTGGATGGATTAAGTGGTGGCCGGAGTAAGTCGTGGGAGATGGAGGGGAGGCAGAGTCAGTGGTGGCCCGACTTTGTGGTGGGAGATGGATGGGGAGGCAGAGTAAGTGGTGGCCGGACTTCGTGGTGGGAGATGGAGGGGGAGGTAGAGTAAGTGGTGACCGGAGTTCGTGGTGGGAGATGAGGGGGAGGAAGAGTAAGTGGTGGCCGGAGTTCGTGGTGGGTGGAGGAAACAGAGGCGGAGGGGGGGGGGGGGGCGGGCAGAAGGAATGGGCTAGGGTTTGGGCAAAATGTACTAAGAACAATTTATATGCTTCCGAGGTTGGCTCGGCCATATCCGTCACAAACACACAGCCACATGTTACGGAATTATCCGTCCCAAAAACGCGCAAAACTAAAACGAACCGGTAGGGAAAATTAATTTGAATTTTGAATAGGAAGCGGCACGGAGTTATCCGTCGCAACCTCGGTGCCAAACACGTTCTAGATTATTCCGGATTAATATTCGGTGTTAGCGGCGCCATGGGTCAGATATATCCGTCCCAAGTGCGCGCAAACACTACTACATTTTTTGGTTTTTCATACAAACAGTATTTGTAGGGACATATCAAATTTTGTAGGTAGAATCTTTTGGAGACAAAAAAAATTTGTGGCTATTTTTGTAGGGAAATCATCGAAGCGAAAGATATCACCCTACGAAATTCATAACTTTGTCTGCTAAAGTTTAGGCATACAAAACTTTTCTAGACAAATAAAATTTGTCTTCCAAGTACTTTTACCTCAACATTGTTTGTAGGCGCAAGATCTTTTTTCCAACAATAATTTGTTGTATGGAAAAAATTTGTAGATAAAATATATTTTTCTCTACGAATATTTTTTGTAGAAAAAGCTATTCATCGAAACAATGTCCTTTTCGCTACAAATAAATTCTTTTATGGTGAGTGATTTGTAGGAAAATCATATCACACAAGGGCTATTTTTGTAGGCCTAAGAGTAGTTTTGCCACGAATGATTTTCTAGGATAGTATTTTGTAGTGTAAAGATATTTGTCGCTGCAGAAGAATCACCCATTAGGACCAAGCTATAGTTTGCGCACAAAACAAAAAAATCAGAAAATGATATAACACATACTTATACTAAAAATCATGGTTCCACATAAATGTGCATAACAAAGTTTAATAACTCCATATCAAACTAAAACCAGATCGTCGAGTACTAATACCATCCCAAAAAAATCAAATAAACTGAAACGAAAGTTAAATGTCAAATAAAAGAATAACACATGCCCTGGTTCATCTAGATGTCCTTTAAAAATAACTTAATAATATCATATGAATTTCTAACTAATCATCCAAGAGCGTATCAGCCTCATCTTCTTCTTCATCTTCAAGCGAAAAAGGGGTGAATGGCGGTATAACAACACCTACCTGCATTAAAGATTGATGCCAAGATTGTAAAGTGGAGTTGAACTTTTGCCCAACATTTTTCAAGGTACTTTGCATTCTCTGTTCAGTCTCTATTCGAGCCGCATCAGCAGCCTTTCGTGCCGCTCTTTCCACCTCCAACTCTTTTTCCAAATTTTGCACTTTTTTAGTTGTTGCCCCTGAATCTCGAAGACCACGAATCCGACGACCTGAATTGGTACCTAAAACAGAAGTCATTATTTCAAGTCCAATATCAGGATCATCAACAGGTATCTCCTCCAAAGGAGTGTCTTCAGGAAGCTGATATTCTTTTGCCTTTTCCGCGAGATACTCATTAGTTTTGACAACCATTTTCTCCTATAAAAAATTACACAACACATATAAAGTTATTAGTAACTAGAGTATGAAGAATAATAAATGTACTTTAAAGCTAGTCTCTTACATGTTGTTCTTTTGTTGCCTCATTTATCCAACGCTTGTCTTTCCCAGCATAAGTTACCTCAAACGCAGCAACTTCTGGAAACTTTGAACCATCCTATTATTGATAGTTTTTACTAGTCAGTACAATTTGTTCAAGTCTGTGTGTTGCTTTAAAGTGGCAACACTAACTTGAATAATAGTAGAAATAGTTAAACTCAAAGCACTAGATCCATGATATTCCTATAAAAATTGTCGTAGAAAATACATAGAATCATATAGCATTTTCTGGGAACCAAAATACACCAAACAAGAGATTAAACACTTGAAGGATAGCACTGACACTACTAGCAATGCTAGATTAACAATATGCATTCATTTCTAATAATATGATCAATGATGGCAAATTCTATGATCTCTCCTCCAAGGTCACAATCACAACAACAATATCCTTGTTGAAATGACAACCATGCACAAAAGATGATCCTAAGTCCTAACAATAGAGCACAAAAGGACTGCTCATAAATGCATAACAAAATTCAAGTTTAAAACTAAAACAAGATACACTCGCATCATCACATGCAATAAGCCAATAATCATATGCATGCAAACAACATCAAATTCATTTTCCCTGCAATAAGCCAATAATCATATGCATGCAAGCAACATCAAATTCATTTTCCCTTCCTAAGGTTAGGCTCAAGTTAAAAAAATCGCAGAATGACAGCAGCAGATTCTGCCCTTGGAATAAAAATAACAAGGATTTCAAAATTCACAAAATGATAGCAGCAGATTCTGCCCTTGGAATAAAAATAACAATGATTTCAATAAAAATACTCTATGAACAAAGGATTTAATTAATATACTCTTAACGAAATAAAAATAACAACTAGTGAAATTTGATTCTACATCATATAAAATCAAACATAAACCAATTATTACCTATGAACCAAACCTATTTCACTCCAGATTTCAATAGTGTTCATCATTATCATTTTCTCACGTTTAATGAAAGATAGATTATGACCAGTCAAAAGAATACCAAACATATCGAATAAAAACTTTCTTTTAACATAATAGAATTTTTTTAATAACATACCGCAATCATATCCTCTACTATATATGAGAGAGGACGTGAACCAGTACGGTGGTTGTTCTTCTTATTTGAACGGTTAGTTGTGTTTGCAGATGACGCATTCTGAAACAAAGAGAAAAGAGATTTAATATAGTTAAATTAAAATAACTAAAAAACAACAAAGTAATTTTACTTACTTTGAACTTTTCTGAGTTAAAATGATTACACAACCATTCCCATTCAGTCTTATCTCTGTCAACCATCTCTGGAGGAGGCAAGGTCAGCGCTTTTGCATGCGTCTCACATGACTTGTAATATTTACTCAATTCAGCCTTGAACTCTCTATACCTTCCATTGTATAGTCCATTTATATACTCTTTTATATCAGGATCTTCAAAGTCGATCTTAAAGTTCGTCTGAAATTAACATATAATAATTTAACTAATTAACTAAACAAAAATAAAATTAAGAAATGATGAAAGCATAAAATTTTATAATACCAAAGTAAAAACACAATATAGAGTACATATTTTTTCCTGAGGTAGCTAGCTCACCGTGATCTCATCCATAAGGTCAGCTCTATCATCGACAGGTATTTTCCCCCAAAAACCTGTATTCATTGGACAATGTGATCGAATGATAGCTCCAACATCATGAACAAGGAGGCTATGTATCTCAGCACTGGTTGCTCTTTTAGTAATTTTGTTGTATGCAACTTCAATTCTGTGTTTACTAAGACGAACCATACGAGATGTCTTAATATGTTTGCAGGGTCCCCTACCGCGACTGTCATCTTCACTTCGTGAAAACTTCACAACATCTACACACATAAAAATGATGGTTAAGAGAGCTACATTTACCAGAAATAATACTAACGCACATGTATATGTGGCAAAGTTCAAAATAAGTGTAATATATATTATACCATCATCTGCTTCACGTTCATCACTTAATGATCTGTGAGTGTTTTTACCGGTCGTGTGTAGCACCTGATGCTCTGATTCACCTGTTAAATAAAACAACTAATGGTGGACAATAGACTGTAGTGACCATAAAAATATGCCCTATATTTAGGGAATGCATGCCAAGCATGGTAAAATAATTAACATAATACTCTATCAGTCCCTCAAAAAGTCATTTTTGGACACTTTTTTATCCCAGGAATTTTAATAAGTAAAATTAAAAACATTAAAATATTAGTAAAACAAATTGAAAATATTAATATATCATTCTATTCCAAGGTGAAAACCCACTTCTAGCATCCTTAGGTGATTCCCTTCCTCGCTAACACCAATTCAAGGCCATAATGTTTAATAAAAAATTATTACAAAATAAAGGATGTGAAAGTAGGGGTGGTGGCAGACCCTCTAAAGAGAAAAAATTGCTTTAAAGGGCATATATTCATAAGCTATAAGAGTAGAGATGTGGATGATCATTGAACATAGTAGTCTAAGCCTCCAAAAAACGTTAAAAAAAGGAAAATGATAAATATGAGAACTCTTATTTATTATTAAAGGCAAAATATGTGTGTCATTAGCTTAATCCAATAAAGTAAATCCAATAAAGTAAGTGAACTTAGTATTTAAGCTTGAAGATTTTCACCCATGTTGTAGTCAAAATTAAAATTTTCCTATTGCTTGATTTAAAACGTGGTAAAGATTACCACAAGAACATGTATATATACCTCAGTCCTCAAAAGCATATTTATATTAACTACATATTTTACTTAGGACTTTTATCAAACATGTTGGGGACAAAGTTCTTTGATAGAAGGGCAATCAAACAAAATATACTTTCAATCATTAAAAATCAATAGCAAATAACAATAAAATATGAGTATAGCCTTCCTTTTAGAATAAATTGCAAATTATTCAAATACGAAAATAATTGAGGGATACACAATCAAAGTGATTAATATCAACCCTAAACTGAAGTGTAAGCATCCATTTTAAACTTTGGGCTTCAAATTTAAACACGTTAAATCAATCATCAATCATTGGTTAAGGATGGTGAAAAATATATGGATAAATTTTACCTGAAATTGGAGGTTGAGATTCAAGATCGGACTTGAATATTTGGATTGAAGGAAGCTCCGTTGATATGAAGATAATATTCCTCCTCTCTGTAACATATATAGAATATTGACTAAAAGTTCACATAGTAATAATTAATCAACTCTTTACATACATTGTCATGTCCTGAAAAATTAAACAAATAATAATAAATAACTAAAAATACAAACGGGGAATAGCCAACTACTCTCACAATAAGTTAAATAACACTTCTAGCATCAACTTAGTTAACTCCTTTCCTCTCTAACACTGATTCAAGATCATAAATTTTTAATAAAAAAATATTACAAAGTAAAGGATGAGGCGGTGGCACACCATACCCTTCTAGACGGCATACCCTCTAAATAGAAAAAAAATGCTCTAAGGTCATATGTTCATAAGCTATAAGAGTAGAGATCTGGATGGTCATTGCACACAGTAGTTCAAGCCTCCAAAAATCTTAAAATGTGCTGAATGATAATTATGACAACTCATATTTATTATAAAGGCAAATAATTTATGTGATTAGCTTAATCCAACCAATTGCAGGACCGTAATTAGTATTTAAAACTCTCCTCTGGCCTGATTTAAAAAAACTTGATAAAGCTTTTAAAGAGAACATGTATATATACCTCAAAAGTATAATTATTGACTACACTTTTTACTCGGGACTTTCATCAAACACGTTGGGGACAAAGTTCTTTGATAAAGAAGGGCAATCAAAGAATAAGAATATACTCTCAATCATTAGAAATCAATAGCAGATAATGATCATATTGTAAGAGTGTAGCTGTCCTTTTATAATAAATTGAAAATTATTCAACTACGAAAGCAATTGAGTGATACACCATTAAAGTGGTTAATATCAACCCTAAACTGAATTGTAAGCACCGATTTTCAATATTGGAAGAAGCATCAATCATTGGTTAAGACTTAAGGATAGTGAAAAAGATATGGAGAAATCTTACCTCTGAAACTGGCAGCTGAGATTCAAGACCAGACTTCGTAAAATGAAGAACTTTTGAAGCGGAACATACAAGAAACTGGAAAACGGATCGATCCGAGGGTTGTTCCTGCGTTTTAGCTAGGGTTGGAGATAGTAATTTAGTACTTTGCGCGCTATAATTTTTGGGTAAAAAGAACCGCTGGAGTTTTTGGATCGAAAATTGAAAACATTTTTGGGTAAAAAGAACCGCTGGATTTTTTGGATCGAAAATTGAAAACTTTGGTTTTCCGCTGGAATGCAAAGTATTGTGTATGTAGTACGGTTTTCCGATGGAATGCAAATTAAAATGGCCTGCTAGCATTAATTTAGAATTTTAAAATCTAATCTAATTATTAAATTACCTCCTAATTTGTAGTGTGTATGTAGTACGTGTTGGCTGCGTGCGTAGTGCGTACGTTCGTACTCGATCTTCAATTTTTCACTTTTCATTTACATAAGTTAATATGTTCACTTTTCATAATTTCATTGAACATATAGAAAATATAAAAAACAATGTAATATTAGTAAAAATTCATATATATAGTGAGCCCATTTGGTAAAACAAAAATTGGTTGTATCGGCTGACTCTGGAAAAATTTAAGAAGTTCTGGTTTACTCTGCTGATTTATAAAAAAATATTTAAAATATTCTAGTACTCCCTCCGTCCCTAATAACTTTGCTAAGTTTGACCAGCACGGGGATTAATAAAGTAAAATTGTGTGGTTGAGGTTTGTGCAGAGGACAGTGAATTAACTGGAACCACAAATTCTTTGCTTAAAAGGGAAAGTGGCAAAATTAATGGGACATCCAAAAAAGGAAAGTTGGCAAAGTTATAAGGGACGGAGGGAGTATTTTATTAATAAAATAAAGAAAAAATATATGAAAATTGAAAAATATCTAAAATGGTTATCTAACTTCAGTCAATTCAACCAGAAAATTAACTCGAATCTTACTTATTTTGATTATTACACAATTCAGTGCACGAAATAAAAAATTACGCTTTTGTTGAAAAAATTGCTGACAAGACTGATAAGTCAAAATAGGCTCAATATGTGTAGTTGTGTTTTATTAATTTTATGCTTATGAAATAATAACCTTCATGAAAATGCAATTGTAATGAAAAAGAACTTGTTTACCGTATATTGCTATTTTTCATATTCATACGGAATATTGGAATTAAATTCAAGCCAAGACAAACTCTACCAATAGTTGTCAAAATCAACCTTTTTCTACGTCTTAATTTTGTATGGAAAGCACTTTTGTTGAAAAAAAAAAACTAACCCCACAAAACACGTAGTACTACGTAATTTGTTACAAAGGAAACTTTTGTTGACGCCATTAATTTGTATGAAAACAAATATTTGTAGTTAAATAACTTTCTCCACGAACAATGTATTTTGTCGTGACAAAATACATTAGACTACAAATTTAATTTGTATGCAAAGCACATTTGTAGGGAAAAGGATAGCACTACGAAATAATTTCTTGTCTGGAAAAGTAGCTTTTGTCGACATAAATAATTTGTATGGAAAAAATATATTTGTAGTCACAATACTCTCCCCACAAATGATTTATTTCGTCGCGCGAAAGCACTTTCGACTACAAATTTAATTTTGTATGCCCAAATTTTGTAGGCAAAGCATGATTTTGTAGTAGTGAAAACAAGAAGAAACCGGTGGGGGAAAATTAATTTGAATTTTGAAAAGGATAAGGCACGGAATTATCCGTGCCAAACTGAAAAGGCGTCTGAAACGGTGTGCAGTCAGTAATTATTATGTCAGACGGCGGTGGGTCGGATTTGGGAGGGATAAGTCCGTGCCAATAACGTACAAACAACAGAATTACGGTATTGAGACGGAAATGTCCCACCCAAATCCTTGCCAATCATTCAACTTCTACTATAAATATGTCGTATGGGGAAAATATATATAATAGTGTCTAAAAAATTAGAGTGTGAAATTAGAAAGAGATTTTTATGGAAAAATCAGAAGGTTCAAGTGATAAAAAGTATGGGGATGTGATTTTGATGCATTGGGAAAAAAATTGATACTATAGGAGAAATACTTAAATATATGAAGCTTGTTGATGATGTTGCAGCCGAAGAAATTAAAAAGTTACTGAAAAACGGAAGTGAAGCGGATGTTAAAAGTGAAGATCATGGTAGGAAGGCAGTTTGAAGATTGAAATTGGTGTATCGTTTTATTATGTACTGCTATTATCATGTATTGTTTGATTATGTGATTTTTATTATCGTGTATCGTTTGATCTTTTAGTAAACTGCTATTATCATGTATTGTTTGATTATGTGATTTTTATTATCGTGTATCGTTTGATCTTTTAGTAATCTTATTCTGTTTTGACTAAAATTAATGTAATAAAAACGTCCGCTTTTAGCGTAATAAAATCGGTCTTAGTATTTAAGTTGAAACAGTGTTTTTATTTAACTAAGATTTTGTAACACCCCACCCGGATCAACCCCACCGACCCGAGCGGTGTGTCACGAGGCAGAAACCGAAACGGACTTATTTAAAAAAATTCCATCAGGTTAGACCATATTTAATAGATTTACAAACATACTTTTATTTTTGAATAACTGGAACACATTAGCCCAAAATAAGTAAAAATTTATCAAACAGACATAACGTCAACATTACAAAATTCATTTAGCTGCAGCGGAAGGTTCTTACAAAATATCAAAATAAAGTTTATTTCAAATACACATTCCATACTTTAAAGAACCCCAAAACAGACCATATGCATATGAATCCTATGCCTCCCTCCCGATGCTTCAGGTTGATCTTGGACTTGACCTACGGGTAGGAAAAACAAACAACTACCCGCTCAGCAATGTGCTGAGTGGTACGGTAATAACACATAGCATATAACGGCATATTATAACTAACATGTGATCATTCAAACAAATAACCATACCTGAGTGAGCTGGATAAACTTTCATGTATTTTAGTATATTCATATACATAACAGAACAAGTTCAGAATTCCGGTCATCATATAATTCATTTTTCTTTTAAAATGTATCATTAATCAGACAGATCATCATATAATTCATTTTTCTTTTAAAATGTATCATTAATCAGGCAGATTAATTTAGCCTTAAACTCAAGAAACTGGACCTAGCGGAATACTAACGGTAAGGAATACAGTCTCGAGTCTGTACCCACATTACCCAGAAAGGATATGGAAACGTAATCGCCGGAGCTACACGTACCAATCCCTGACAGAAGCTAGCTGGACAGAAAGGACGAGATCACCGAAGAGACCCGATCCTTAACAGAAGAGTAATAGTGTTCTAAAAAGATTTCAGGAGTGTACGCGGTACACTAAACAGGAGAACACTAATTCCTCTAAAACAGAATTTCAGGAGTGTACGTAGTACACTAAACAGAACAGAAGTATTCACGTCAGAGTGCCAGACCAAGAGTAAGGCTTTTAAGAAAATAGAAACTTTAATACTTTTATCATTATTACTTACGTATATATTCTTAAAAAGTGATCATATTGCTTAAGTAAATATTCAGATTAAGTAGTTTATTTTACCTTTTTAAACTAACTTAATATAACAAATATTATTTAAACATATAAGCTTCGTAACATAACAGGCTTCGTATACAAGTATTGGTGATGATGCTGTTAAGTTTATGCTGTTATTTTATATATACACATGTCGGTTCAACTAAGTACACATACGTAGTTTACATATCACAGTGTTAGTTTCCTGTTATGGATAATACTAACATATAAAACATTAGTGCATTTATTATTATATCAACTAAAACCTACATGAATTCGATAAGCATATTTACGTAATATATTAGTGATGAGTGCCGCAGGTCATAAAATTTATTATCATTATGAATGCATGTTATGTACTCAGATAGCTGGTTCTAATTTGCTATAATATACTTGGTATTTACGAAATAATAGTTCTTCTAAATTCAAAGAATACATACACAAAATATCATTAACTTATACCGTGTTCATCATCCCCATAACATAACAGGAAACAGGGACAGAAGTAATAGTATTATAATACATATTAATCTAAATGGGGGCGGGAACGTACTGACCTTATATACAAAATTTACCCGAAAATCTCTCAAGTTTGCACTCTTCTTGATATATGGCTATCTCTTTGGCGTAATAATACTTCTTTAATTAAATATTTTTATCACTTAAAATCTATCGAAAGGCATCACATATTTATATGGACAGTTTGGCCGCCATATATGATCCTTGTAAATTTTAGATAGTGTCTTATTAAGCCAAGTGTCCAGTGATAAGGATTTTATGTTGCTGCGTCACTACTCCTCCAAGTTCTATGAAGATATTAGTCACCAAGGAATTATTTAAATGGATAAATATTGGATAAATTCCTAATAGTCTTTTTCGTATCCTAATTTGACTTGCCACGTTAAATGCTATTTATCTTTTAACCATAACACTCAATTTCGGTACGTAGAAATATTATTAAATAAAATCTAAGAGTTTTTAATAAAATTAAGAAGAAATCATTTCGAAGAAAATTCCCAATTCTGACTGAAATATAATCATTTATTTTATATTGATATTATAAATTTATTTGTATATAGTCTTAACGATTAGACCGGATTTTGAGGCGTTACAGATTTTTTTATACAGACCAGACGTATTCGGATTATAACAGATTAGACAAGATTGAAAAGTTTGATTAAAAAAGCATTCTAAAATTAGACACGTTTTGATTAAAAAAGCTAAAATTATTTGAGAATAGACACCTTTTAATTTGATTAAACACACGAAAAATTATCTACCGAAGTGCATTCTAAAATTACTCGGAAACAGTCTAGACTAGCTAGAAATGAGAATCATAACACAACAAATTAGATTAGAAATCGAATTATTTGGAGTCTAGACTAAAATAAAACAATTCATTCTTCTTCTTCTTCTTCGGAGTCAATCCGGTCAACGTACTCATCATCATCATCATTATCTTCCGTTTGAAAGTTCCATTCTACTTCTTCATATTCAGTTCTCATGTTCGGACCATCGTTGGCGTCGTTGGGGTCAAACTCTATTTCTGCTCCAGTAGAATCTTTCAAAAAAAATATCCTCCTCAATAATGTCTGGAACTGAGGTTTGAAAAAACTCTTGTTAGTAAACATCAATATCAATGTTTTTTACTTTTTTTGTAGCGCGTGAGAAGCAACTTTTCTCGGTCTAATTGTGCATGCACTTAAAATTATGTTATACCCAGCCAGTGTGATTGATCCGTGTCGTCGGATATTCCACGTAATACACCTAGGTAGCCTGTTGAGCTAATATGAAAGGTTCATTTTTCGGATACACACGCCTGTGATTAACATCCAACAAATTATGTTTTTGATGTTTTTTCACCCCCTCACTGGATCTACCTAAGTGCATTTGAATAATACACACGATTTGTTGTGGTCAGGGAATTTCATTTCCAGTATCTCGTCCACGTATCCAAAAAAACTAGTCTCTGAATTGTCATAACTAGAAGTCGACACACTCACACCATTGTTCATTGTGGGTTTATTGTCTCCGTAAGCCCGTGTATGATATTTGTAGCCATTGACAAAATATATCGACCAACACCTCACAAGTGTTTCGGGACCCCATGTTAATGACTCCAAGAAAGGATCAACGGGAGAATTTTCAGCTTCACAGAGTATCTGCAAATGTCATTTACTTCTTGAGTAATGAATACTATAAAATGTAAACTTGCAACTAAAAAAACTTATTGATTTACCGTAGATTTGAACCATCCTGCAAATTCAGTGTCGATCGTTGCATCAATCACCTCATTGGAATAACCAGCTAGAGAAAGCATTTCTCTATAATCACTACATTTTTTATAAGACAATGAAATGGTTAGAGTGTTTGTTAGTGTGACCGTCGTAAGAATAGCATTGCTTCTTCCTGGTTCACAGACGACACACATAGTTCGAAACAAAGCAAAGTTCTTGGTTTGTAGACGGCAGTGGAGACAAGAATTTTGGGCTGAAGAAGGGGTGATGATCTCTGTAGATGGATGATATCATGAACCAATATAAACAGATGGTCATTGTTGAGACCGAGGAGTAGATTTTGAATGATGATGAAGGCGGCGAACAGACGACGAGCGAGGGGAAGGTGTCATTCCCGGTGGTTGGCATGGTTCTCACGGATCGGGAAATAAAATTTCAAATATTCAAGGAGCTCATGGTGCCTCTGTGAAGACCAGTCAAAGGTGTGTCTATAAAGGAAATTGGTGGGAAAAGGTACATTTTTACTTTTTATCACAATTTGGATATGAGGCATGTGTTAGATGAAGGGTCAGGGTTGTCTGAGAGAAACCTGTTGATTTTGAAAGAAATTAAGGCGGAGGATATCCCTTTGCAAATCAGCCTGATTGAGACTGAGTTTTGGGTTCAGGTTCATAATGTGGCTTATGGATTTATGAATTTAGAATCTGCTAGGAGAATTGGTAACTATATTACGAAATTAATTAGTTTTGTTGAAAGCTAGTTTGATGAAAAATGGAACGCTTATATGCGTATTAAGGTCCGTATGGATATTAGGAGACCCCTAAAAAAAGGAACAACCTTGAAAAAAGGAGGTATTAGCCAGTGGGTGGACATTAAGTATGAAAACTTGCAAAATTTGTTTTATCTGCGGGATTATTGTGCTTTGTGATAAGTTTTGTCCAGTCGTGTATGAGGGAGAAAACATCACCTTTGATAAAACTTATGAAGTAAATCTTAGAGCTGGAGGCGGGGTGAAAACTAGTCCACAGGAGGTACAAATCGCTAGTCGGAGGATCCTCTAGTATTGGCACAGGAGTACCGTAAAGAAGTGAGATTTAGGGCACAAGCGGGCATGGCTGGAAGGAGGTTACTACTCGAACGGGAACTAGCTCTACTAAGGAAGGGATCTCGGTGAACTCGGAAGAGATGTCTGAAGAGCAGAAGCGCAGAAGAATCTGGGAGCTAGGTGAAAGAACAGGAGGATCCAGCTGGAGAGGACATGACACTTGATAAGCAAAAAAACGAGGAGGCGGGTCTCGACCAATAGTCCTGCCGGTTTCTTTGAAGATACTTGACAGACCGTTTCATTGGCTTATGGTGGTGCACTTGGAGTTGGAAAGTAATATTTTTTAATTTCTCTTTAATTTAGATGTTGTTTCTTTAATCAGACTGGTTACTTATTTGTTTTTTTATGTTTGATTGTAAGACTCTTGTATTAAGATTATGGGATTGTAGGTCTGCTTCAACCGTCTTTGGCTCATGTAAGCCCATCAATAGGATCAATGAGTTATATTGCTTGTTTGTGAGTGATTAACTTTGAGTATGGTTCAAGGGCTGATGACGTTTGTGGTTCTTATATCATTTTTACCCCTTTCAGAATGTTAAGAGCCTATTTACTAAAAGATATATTTTCCAATTTTCTAGAAAACTGGAAAACTGGAAAACAGATAACAGGAAACGTGTTTACCAAAGAAATTCCTGGAAAACTGGAGAAAGAAAAAAAGAAAAACGTGTTTACCAAATCGTTTTCCAAAACGGAAAAAATGAGACATGTCTCTTTTTTCCTTAATGATTTGGAGAAGTGACTTTTCTAGTTTTCCAAATTTGGAAAACGCAGATGCTACAGCGCCGCTGCAATGAATATGCATACTTACACCTAGTGGTGGGTCCGGTCCCACTCCGATGACGATTCCATTCCAGTACCTCCATCCTCGTACCTTACCCCTACCGTACCCTACGACCAAACCCCCACCCCGCGTACCCCTTTTCCCTACAATGACCCTACCCAACCCCCCTACCACATGCCCCTACCTCGGCCCCACCCCGATCCACCCTACCCTACCGCCACCCCCTACCACCTCGACCCCACCCTACGCTACCTCCACCCGTCATATATTACCCCTTACCCCTACCTTACCCCTTACCACATGCCCCTACCTCGGCCTCGGCCCCACCCCCCGCCATCCTACCCCCACCCTCATATCGCCATCCTACCCCAACCCTACCGCCATCCTACCCCCACCTCCATCCTACCCCCAACCCGTCCCCTACCTCGGCCCCACCCTGATCCCGGCCTCACCCTACCGCCATCCTATCCCTACTCCCTACCCTACCCCTACCTTACCCCAACCCCTACCCTAACCGCCATCCTGCCCCCACCCTACCGCCACCACCATCCTACCCCCCCACCCTACCCCTCCCCTACCTCGGCCCACCCTGGTCCCGGCCCCACCCTACCACCATCCTATCCCAACTCCCTACCCTACCCCTACCTTACCCCAACACCAACCCTACCCTACCCCCACCCTTACCCCTAACCATGACCCTAACCCACCCACTACCCCCACTACCCCTAGACCTTACCACCCCACCCCCAACCATACCCCTTACCCCACCCCTACGAGTAGGTATGGGTGGGTATGAAGGGGTTGTAGGGGAGTATTGTAGAGTGTAAGATCGTGGTAAGGGTAGGGGTCAAGGGTGTGGAATTGGGTGTAGGATGTAGGGTGTGGGTATGAGGTATAGGCTAGGGGTTAGGGGTATGGGTACACGTACGAGGTGATCGACCCCACATATTATATTATATATTTGTGTTCATGAATGTTTGTGTGTCTACATATGTATCGGGTAATTTTGGACATTTTATTGTTAAACGGTGTTTTAAACCTTTTGAAGTAAACATGATTTTACAACATTGTTTATTTTATGCGCCACTTATTAACGCGAGTCTTAATGAACACCATTTAGTAACCCGTGAAGTAAACGTGTCCTCAGTCTTCTGTTTGATCATAGAACTGGGTGAAAAAATTGATGAACATGTTTTCAGATTTGAAAATGGAAAACTAAAAAATAGAAACAGAAAATTGGAAATAGAAGAACTGAAAAAAAAACAGAAAATTGGAGAACGAAAAACAGAAGTAGAAAACAGGAAAATATATCTGTTAGTTAACAGGCCCTAATGTTGTGGGCCTAATGTTGTGATATCAATGTAGCTCCTGTTCTGAAAAAAGACAGGGAACTTTTTTAAATTCTCAATCATCCCCAGTCATACGCTTTGTGTGGATGCCAGAGTAATATTTGGCTTTCCAAACCATACATTCCCCGTGTCTTTGTTTTTCTTTTCGGGGACGTAATGTTATTTTTCATGCTTTAAATACATCATTTGACTCTCTACTTAAAAATTAGCAATTCTATAACTCTATACATGGGCGCCTTACAGTTCAAGTTGTTTAGTGCTTTGTGCTCCATCTGCTTAATAGCAAACGCAGAACTAATAAATTATCTCCCCGGGCAACCCAAGAAAGTTACCTTCAAGCAATACTCTGGTTATATCGTAACGGATGAAGAGTATGGTAGATCCTTATTCTATTATTTTGCTGAAGCACAATCAAAACATGCACTCACTCTCCCTCTGACAATTTGGCTAGGCGGAGGTAAAATATCATACCGTAGTACTCCGTAATTTTTTTTTTGAATTGTTAAATTCATAAGATCCTAATATCTTAACATCAGCAAATGGTTGTTCTTCGGCTGGGAATGCTATATTCACTGAAAATGGACCATTTAGGCCAACAAAAGATGGCAAACTAATAACAAACGCATACTCTTGGAATGTAGGTAACGTAGTTATGTGTATCTTTTTGTTTTTGAGGTACATAAAGTTTTTAAAAGGAGTAAAGAGTCAGATTGGTCCTCGAAATTGCATAAAAAGGGTCAAATAAGTCCTTACTGTCCGGCCGTCGCCATTTAGGGCGGTTCCCAGTTGAATTTTTTGATGAACGTTTTTGAGCATCTTATTCATTAAGTAGAGTTTACTCATACCAAATTTCAGCTAAAATTTCAACCGGGAAGACATTCAAAATTCTTGAAGATAACTGCGCTTTTAACTAAGCAGTTATCTTAAGGACTTCATTTGAATGTCTTCCCGATTGAAGTTTTAGTTGAAATTTGGTATGAGTAAACTAGACTTAATGAATAAGATGCTCAAAAAATTTCATCAAAGAAATTCACCGGGAACCGCCCCAAATTGTGACGGCCGGATAGAGCCTCGTATATAAGGACTTATTTGACCCTTTTATGCAAATTCGAGGACCAATGTAACTCTTTACTCTTTTTAAAAGGCCTGACATAGCGAGGCGGTAAAGGTCAAACCTTAAACCTTTGAAGCCTAGGCGGTGCTGCGAGAATAGATGAAACCTAGGCGTGAAAAGGCGTTTTAGATTTCTATCGATAATTACTACGTACTCCGTACTATTTTATGTCCAAATAATAATAATAAAGTTTGAGCTTAATTTTTACTTTGTTCAATATATAAAATTTTTAAATCTATAAAAAGTGCGAATACAAAATGACAATTGTTGTTTTTTTACTACTTTTTATTAGATTTCATATATAATTAACATGTTTATAAAAAGTGTTTTTTTTTAGTTCAATTGATTTTTTCTTTGCAAAAACAAATCATCTAAAAAGCTTCCGTCTTTTCACGATTGCCCTTTGCGCCTAGTCTTACATTTTTTTCATGCCTTTGGTGGTTAACTCTTTCATCAACCACCTTCTTGTCACCTTATAGGGTATGTTTGGGAGTTTGGAGGGAAGGAGAGTGGAAGATTTTGGAGGTATGTTGGAGGGGGAAGGGAGGAAACTCTTCTTTGTATTTGGGAGTAATAAATTTGAAAGTAGAGAGTTTTTGAAAGAATTATATTAAAATCACTTTGGGATATGACGAATATAAATAAGGGAAAATGGAAACAAATAATCCAACCTTTTAGCAGTCTTCTTACAATAGTCCCACATTTTCGTTATTCAAGAATAATCCAACCTTTGCATCACATCTTCATTCTCTGGTCCCTGAACGGTTAATGACTTGCTATTCCAAGTTATTTTCTTATCTTTGAAAAATATTATCTTTTTGAAAGGTGAGATTTATGGTATAATGGTTTGCAAAGATAAGAAAATAACTTGGAACAGCAGGTCATCAACCGGTAAGGGACCATTGAAAGAAGATGATGTGCAAAGATTGGATTATTCATGAATAACACAAAGTTGGGACTATTGTAAGAAGACCGTTAAAAAGTTGGATTATTAGTTTCCATTTTCCCTATAAATAATTGAATTGATATTCAATTTTAGTTAAGCTTAAATTATCATCTCGTTAATTATCAAAAACCTCCAAATTGGAGGAACTTAAAAATTGAGAATTTAAAGGGTTTAGGAGGATTATAAAAACCCTTCAAAACCAATCCCTCTAATTTTTTCAAACTCCCAAACATGAAAAAGAATGTAAACCCCTATTAAGCTTCCCTTCTCCTCCTATACCCAACTCCCAAGCACACCCTTCGAATCTTTTTGTTGTAATGTGTATTGATTTATTCAATCTTGAAATTTTATTGTTTTTGTTAACCCTAACAATTCGCAAGCAGCGTCGAACATGCTGTATGTAGACTCCCCAATTGGAACTGGTTTTTCATTCTCCGATACAAGCTCAGACTATACCAATTGGAATCAAACCATGACGGGTACTAATCAATTTACACCAGAAAACACTAACTAGTTTTTTTCTTTCAATTGATAGATATGCAATACCTCTTCTAATTATTTAAGAAATTGCGCAAATAGAAATAAAATATTTCCGATTTTTCAAAATATGAGTTGCATTATTTTCTTCTTTTATTCTTTTAAACAACTCAACAAATCTTACTTTAAAGAACTCAGACTTAATAGATAGTTAATTCTACTTTAGAATTTTGCCTACATTTTACTTTTATTTCGAACAATTTTTATAATTATTATTGGTACCTTGATATATATGTAGTAAATGAAAATATGAAGTTCCTTCTCAAGTGGTTTGAGAAATTTCCTCAATACAAAATCTCTGATTTATACTTGGCTGGAGATGGTTCTGGAGGTAACTTTTTACTATGTACTATTTATTTATTTATTTATTTATTTATTTATTTATTTATATTTACCAAGGATGTTATTACTTGGACTGAAATTTGTTGGTCTGGTCTGGTCTGAACTGGTCTAATCTGGTCTGGTAAAGTCTGGTTCCTGTGTATTTTATAACTGTTCAAATTTGATCTGGTCTGGTCTGGTCTGATCTGATTTGATCTAGTCTAATCTGCGATTGAAAGAGTCAAGTAAAAACCCAAGTCAACTTTCTGTTTACACTCTTAAGTACCTAGTATAAGTTATTGATTACATGCCCCACTCCCCCTTTTCGGGCAAGCCGCAACTTTTATGATGGATTTTTGTTTTTTGTAAAAAAAAATTACATTATGGTCAAAATTTTACATTATGTAGGCAAACATGTTAACTAGCTACGTACATGTACACGATGAATTACGGAATTAAAATATATGGACATTTGCATAGTTAAGATACTAAATTATTAGTAATTTGTTATTTCCTTTTGTTTGTACATGATGGAAAACTGGTACAATTTAATTTCTAATCCTCAAGAATAGTGGAACAAGTAAAAATAATGTATCAAGTCGAATAGCGGGATTATATTTGAATATTAAAGGAATATTAAAATTGTTGCACAAAATGTCTATAGGTTTCTTAGTTCCGCAATTTGGTGCACTAGTGCTTGAATACAACAAGAAAACAGACACGCCAGTGAACTTGAAAGGCCTTGCCGTGAGTTTTTCCTACATCTCTAGTTAACCATCAAAATTTCTTCTCCACAATAAATAAGTTATTAATTCAATGATTTGTATAAACTGTTTCAGCTTGGCAACCTGGGTCTAGGTACTCCGGGTTTAGCGCATGATGATTATTTATGGTACCATGGAGCCATCTCTGAAGAATTATACATTATGCTAAAGACAGTATGTAGTTCTGTAAAACAAATCAATGAATCGCAACATGGAAACATGTCGAGAGATTGCCAAAAAGTGTCGGATATGTTGGATGAGGAAATAGGCGAAGACTTCAATATGGAGAGTTTTCTTATGCCCAAGTGTGTATCCTCAAATTCGGTACGATCATGTAGTGCCAGTGACGTCGCTCTCAAATTTGTACTCCGTATTTATTTCAGTATTTGTGTGTCACACTCACACTATCACGGTTTACATAAAATCTACTCCCTCAATTTCATAAAATTTCGTCAATTTTCCTTATTTGATTGTCTCACTAACTTTTATCATTTTCTCTTTTAAGGTAAGAACATGTGGTTTCATCTAATTTTTTCTTCTCTACACAAATCACACCTACATTGTTTTTACTTTATTAATCCTTGACAAAGTTTTTAGGAACGGAGGAAGTATTTTTTGGTAATTAACATATTACCTCGCCCCCATAAAAATTTTCCTATTTATCATTTTGGAATGTTTAAAAAAATCTCATTTCTCTTTTTGTAAAGTTTTATGCGGTTAACATTCATTTATTTTATTTGACTCAATCACAATCATACATTTTCACTTTATTTCACTTTCTTAAATTTCGATCCAAGTCAAATCGAGAACAATTTAATGAGACAGAGGCACTATTGCGATAATTCTTATAAATACAATTAGAAACACTCAAAGGAGAATGTAAATTAAATGAGCTTTGACTATAGACGGTTGGAGAAACGCTCAGACTCCCACTCAAATCTTTGTTTGAAATTGAATTTAGGACTTCTTTTTTGTGGCATTCTCTTCCTACCAATTGATCATGTTACATCCCTGGCCTTATAATTACAATTAAGGATGTCATATTGGTTTTGATTCAGGTTTTTATCGATTTTTAGATAGAAACAGATTGGGATAATGATTACTAAAGATAAATCACACCATGTTTTGGTTTAATTTGGTTTTGTTAGTTTGGTTAGTTTAGATATGTTACTTTTAATAAATATACAAGGTTTTATTAAAATTTTGAGTCTGGTTTAGTTTTATTTGACGTTTTCACGTGTTAGATTTGATCAGTATCATACCATTTGAGTTATCAAACTCGACCAAATCGAATTTCATATAACGCGGTTTCGATTCACTTCGGTCAAGCTGATCGATCTGATAGACCGATATGCCCATCTCCCATTAAACCATACTTCAATTCAATTCATTTACGTGCTTATGTAATATGTATTATTCTTTTTTGCAATATTTTTCTATTTCGTTAACTTCTTCATTTATAAATACATAAATAAGGGGTGTTTGGAACTGATTCTGCTCTTTTTTTTAAAGAAGAAGCTGAATCAGAATCAGTTTTCAGAAGCTGGTCACCCTCAGCTTCTAAAAAAAATTGATTCTAGGAGTAAATTAGAGCATCGGAATCACTTCTTCACTTTCAGTCAAACACTCCAACTTCTGATTCTGCTCTTTTAGGGAACAGAATCAGTTTTAAGATTCAGATCCAAACACCCCCTAAATACTCATATTTTTCTACGTATTCTTTTCCTTTTCATACTTCATCTTTTCCCGCCCACCTTTAACGCTTATTCTTAAATTAGCATTGCTCGTGTAAGGCGGTTTGCTCAAACCATTGGACTGAAAACTAATTTTTTACGGATAGCCAAAAAATGAAAATAAATAGGGTGGATCATATGAATTGCAAAATGGCAAGCCTTTAAACTTCAGTATCCTTGTGTTTCAGAGTAAACCCATATTTACGAGGACTATTTCTAACTACATTTGTTTTAAATGCTTTTCTGATAAGAAAGAAAAACCCTTTTATTTAATATTTTACGGCATGAAAACTTATTTAAAAACTTTACTTCACACAACATTTGAAAACCACATTATTGGAAGTTTCTGAATGTCAAGTTAACTTTGTATGTAACTTTAAATCTTTAATATGTATACCTAGCTAAAATTTGACTCAAACTCAAATTTTTTATCATGAACCGGTATGATTCAGATGAATCGATATCGTGTTACCTTATCTAGTACTTTACTTAGTACATTTAAAATTAGTATGATGTCTGCTTAAGTTTGATCTTATCCGGCAAGGTCAATTTATATCTGGATATGTTTTATTTAAGTCTTGTCAAGTCTGATTTAAATAATCTTGAATTAACCTAATAGTAATTCCAACATTTTTATATATCAGTTATCTAGGTTAACCTAATTTTTACTAAATCTAACTTTCAGATTTACTCAATAGTAAAAAATCTTGTGGTTCGAAATGCTTATTGTGATACTCCCAAGTATGAAGTCACATGTTTAAATCTTATCTTAGTCACGTTTGTTGGTATTTAACATTGAACACATACTCTATGAGACCATATATCAGCAAAAAAAATACATAATTCACTTTGGCGAAACGAGGCATTTGGGACACTTAATTACGATCTTAGGGACTATTAATCTAAAGAAAGGACTAAAATAGGAATTTTAGTTAATTAGGGAGTGTTAGATAAAAATAGGACCACCTTTTTATACAAAAAGAAAGATCAAAATAGGACTAAGGGTATGTTTGACATAACTAGCTGAAAATATACTTTTATGAGTTTTTTAGAAACTGTTAGTTTTTAGTGACAGAAAAGATTTTCAAAGAAAATGATAGTAGCTGTTTGAAAAGATTTTGGTGATTGTTTGTTGTAGCTATGTTTGGTTTACAAGTTGTTTGGACTAATTAATGCTAGAAGCTACAGGCTTATCCGAGATGTTACTCACTATAGCATCACAAAAAAGATCTTTTAGTTTTATAAAAGCTCTTAAAAATTGATATGTCAAACATACAACTACAAACTTTTACAGACTTTTTAAATAGTACAAAAGCTAGAAGGCAGAGACTTATTTCCGCTAAACATAGCCTAACATACACTAACTTTCACTACCACACCACCTCTCAAATAATATAAATATGGGATTTTAACACCCTGCCACACCACAAGCGGAAAATCGCTCATTAGAGCATCTCCAATAGTTAGCTAACTGCCCTCATAACTTGACTAGCCACATAAGCATTAGGAGCAAAATTAAATTTACTCAACTGGTCAATGATAACTTCTTCATTTTCATTTATTATAAATAATGTTATATTTCATAAATTTCTTTGTTCAAACTAGTTGCTCATTTAGAATAGTTAGATTTCTCAAGCAAAAGGAAAATCAATGCTCGAATGCTAAGCTATTGGTTTTAAAATTGCAAGCAAATTCTCAAAAGGAAGAAGATGTTCTAAGTCATCAATACTCTTGGAGGGAGTTTAGAGGCCGGGAATGGAGGGAAAGACTTTGGTTAATTCTTGGAAGGGAAAGGGAGGAGAAGATGCGAAACTCTTGTTATAAATTTTAAAAAAAAAGGAAGTCTTGGAAGAAATTATAATTATAATCACTTGTGAGACATCGTGAATTCAAATAGTTCAACATATTCATTGTAAATACAGTTTAGATTATTGGTTAGCTATCCATCAAAATCCTAATTTTGGAGAAACTTAGGGGGTATCCCCAACTAGGATTGGATGGATTATAAAAGATCGTGAATTTTGAAATTTGAGGGCTTCTACAATATCTGTGGTAGAATGTTTTTATACGTAGAAATCCATCAAAATTTATTAAAATTTATCCAAATAAGTAACAATAGAAAATCATGTAATGTTTTCGAACACTCTTATTTTTTCATGAATTCCACAGAAATTCAAATAGGGGACATCAGAATTCTGATGGGATTCTAAATTCCATTAAAATCCTCTACAATCCATATTGAGAAACTCCTCTTAAAAATGGGAAAATGAAAACTAATAATCCAACCTTTTAGCGGTTTTCTTACAATAGTCCCACCTTTTCGTTATTCATGAATAATCCAACCTTTGCACCTCATCTTCATTCACTGGTCTCTGACCGGTTGATGACATGTTATTCAAAGTTATTTTCTTATCTTTGCAAATCATTATACCATAAATCTCACCTTTCACAAAGATAATATTTTGCAAAGATAAGAAAATAACTTGAAATAACATGTCATTAACCGGTCAGGGACCGGCGAATGAAGATGGGGTGCAAATGTTGGATTATTGAAGGTGAGACTATTGTAAGAAGGCCGCTAAAAGGTTGGATTATTAGTTTCCATTTTTCTCTTAAAAGTTGAGCATTTCAAAGATTTTGGAGAATTACAACAACCTTCCTAAATCATTTCTCCACATTTTTTGAATCCCTAAATACAAATAGGAGGGTAATACAAAAAAGAAAAACCCCAGTATTATTTCTAAGGGAAAACTATCAAATAGGTCCTCGAACTTTCATAAAAAGGTCAATTAAGTCCTTCTATAGGAGGTTCTGTCCGGCCGTCGCGATTTGGGGCAGTTCCCGGTGGATTTTTTTGATGAATTTTTTTTAGCATCTTATTCACCAAGTCTAGTTTACTCACACCAAATTCCAGCTAAAAGTTCAATCGGGAACACATTTAAATTAATTCTTGAAGATAACTGCGCATTTTTGCGTTCTCGAATTAATTTGAATGCGCTCCCGATTAAATTTTTAGCTAAAATTTGGTATGAGTAAACTAGACTTGATGAATAATATGCTCAAAAAATTTCATCAAAAAATTTCACCGGGAACCGCCCCAAATCACGACGACCGGACAGAGTCTCCTATCGAAGGACTTAATTGACTTTTTTATGAAAGTTCGAGGAGTTATTTGACAGTTTTCCCTATTTCTATAACGTCTTGTTCGTTTTCAACTGTTCAGATTGCTAGTGAAGATATCATTGGAGACCCTTGCCTTTCTCAAAACACATTGGACTATTTAAATCAACCCGAAGTTACTAAAGCTTTACATGTCAATAAGAAACGCTCACCCAAGCATTGGGATATTTGTGAAGGGTAATTTTTTTTTTTTTCGTTTTATTCTATTATTGGAAATTTGCAATAATAGAATAAAATTTGTAGTTTTAGTCATATAAATTTAGTCACTTGTGAATTTGATCCCATAACTAATACTTCGTACGTAGTAAATCTTTGGGATTTAAGGAATTTTCCCCTTAAAAGTACACTTTAATTTCCAGCGATAGTATATCGGAAAACATGTCGCCGGCGTCAGATTTTTATGCCAAAAAATGTATTTTCTAGTGGAAAGATTTTAAAAATGCAAAAAATTATTAGTTATATGACCAAATTTACAAGTGATTAAAATTACAGAACCAATAACGATAACAACTGAAAGTTACAGGACTAAAATTACAAAATTCTCTTCTCTTATTAGGTTATTTTGATTCCTTTGCTTGGGAATATCAAATACTCCGTATCTAATTAGTACATTTCTAAATATCTAAAATCAAATATGAAAAACTGCAGGCAACTTGAGTGTCGCAAGTCCGCATATTTGATTAAAAACTTTGGGGCACTGGCAAGACTTCTAGAGAGACATATCCGTCTTCTGCTTTATAGGTGATTGTTTGCGGTAAAATATTTTTACTAGAAAATTTAATTTGTGAACTATTAGTACGACGATACGTATTGTTGGGTGCATCATGCCATGAATGGTGCATTTTTCACGTGTATATAAATAAAAAGTTAATTGAGTACAAGTATAACTTAACACGCAGGTATCATAAGATTGTTCATTTGAGGTTAGGCTTTGTTTGCAACCACTTGTGTTTAAATAAAAGCACTTTTTGGGAAAAAGTGATTAGTAGTGAAAGTTAGTAGTGTTTGGTAAAATAAGTGCTTTTTGTGTAATAGAAAAAGTAAAAAGTAGATTCTACACGGAAGCCGAGAAAGTAAAAGTTGGTAGTGTTTGGTAAACTAAGTGTTTTTTTCTTAAAAAAAGCCAAAATCACTTTTCTTAAGTGATTGCAAACAAGCCCTAAACCAATCTCGAAATCATGTACCCATTATGAATCATTCTTGGTTAGAGTGATGGACTGATTGTTGGTTTCAATTTAAAAAGGGAAAATCGCATACATGGTCTCTCAGTTATCCACGAAATTAAAATCTCAGACCTGTGTTTCTGAGATTGTAAATGTCACCCCTCAATTGTCCAAATAATTGTCAATGTGGTCCTTTAAGCGGTGAAATGTAATCTCGCCCACATTGTATATTTCACCCCTCAAAAGGACCACATTTGCAACAATTTGGACAATTGAGAGGGGTGACATTTACAATCTTAGAAATACCGGTCTAAGATTTTAATTTTATGGATAACTGAGGGACCATATATGCTATTTTCTCATTTAAGTAACATGCAGGGCCAGTCCTGTCCTTTTTTGGGCCTATGAGCGACACGCTATTTTAGACTTATATTCAAGACAAATGATTAAACATATTAGTCTCGTAACTTTTGTCATTTTCATTATTAGTCCCGCAACTTTAGTAACTTGCAAATTTGATCCTAATTAATATTTGCGATTTAAAGACTTTTTGACTAAAAACTACACTTTCCGACGATAGTATACTGGAAAAGATGTCGCCGGCGTCGGATTTTTCTGCCAAAATGTGTACTTTTCGGTGAAAAAGTCATTGAATTGCAAAGATTTATTAGTTATAAGACCAAATTTGCAAATATTTAAAGTTACAAGACCAATAACGATAATAGCCGAAAGTTACAGGACTAAAATTGCAAATTTCCCATATGAAATAAAAAAAAGTATCTAATGAACTTCATAAAATAAAGGTGAGAACCATCTATCATTATTTAAGTTACATATTTGCACAAAAGTAATAACCCGAGTATCGAATATAAAGAAAAAACATTACTTAAAACGTTTCTCGTAGAACAATGTGAAGCAAAACAACAATAATCGTTTCAAGAATCCCAATTCTCCAGGTGAAGACAAGCTCTCCCATTAACGCATTTAATCAAGAAAAATTCTGCATATTTTGAGTTTGATAAGAGTTTTTGAGCTCATGAGGTAACTCTAATTCATTTTGAATCAAATGAATGCTTTCCAAAGGGCAAAGTCAGGCTACAAACAACTGATAACATGAACAGTTTCGGAATGATATTTACTTGAAAGGGTTCCATTTCCAATCTCACTTTTTTTTCTTCGACGGAGTCTATTTTATAGCGAGCCAGAGGGAGTGAGCCTGAGGATCGGATAAACCATAAAGACGTTAAATTTTGTTGTTTTATTTTGAGGTTTTTATGATTTGTATAGTGGAAATGAGAACTTTCCCGGCAACTTTTTTATTTTTATCGAACTATTCCGACAACTTAATTCACCGAATATATTAATTTGCAACTAAAATTATAATTAAGTGATCAAAATGAAACAAATTAAAGTAATGTGACCAAATTGAAACTTATTTAGAAGTAAAGTGATCGTCCAAGTTAATTTCTCCTAAACATTCTTTCAGTTACAACTGAAAGGATAAATGAAAAGAAATATTACTACATATTGAATTCATAAGTTAAGAATGATTTATTGACCCTTGAGAGTCTAAAGTTTGAAGTCTCGAAAGAATGAAGGTTTTCAAAGAGATAAAGTGTTTGACTGTCAAGATGACTCGCTTAAGAATAACTATCAATGTGTCGTCCTCTATAACTAGTATCAGGAACTCAAATATAGTTTACTGCAATTTGGAAACAAATAAATAATTGGGGTGACCGGGCTAAACTTGCAAGTGTACAAGTGTCGATATAGTAGTAAATTCCGGTAAAATACCGGGTCGAATCCACAGGGAAACGTTGTTTAATTTAGTCCGAGAGTAAATGACTTTTAAATAAATAAATGAGTAAAGTGCAGGGATTTTGATTTGTGTTTTGTACTTTTGCTTTTCACTTTTAATTCAAGGAAACAACTTTAATTAATTCGGGTTTAATGAATGACAACAACAACTAAGGTTTTGGGAATCACTTAAATGCTTTAATAGGGTTGAATATTAGTTCTTTGCCAATAATTATGAATACGATGTCGCTAATATATTCTCAACTCCGCTTAAGGCAGCGAGAGCGTGGTTTTCGTTACGTGTAAGTCCCGTTACGGCTTACATTAATCTACCGAAAACCCCGTTGAATATCAAGATATCACACCCATATCATATAATACCGGATATATTTCTATTCTCGGTAATATATATATGTTTATCCTTTAATGTTCATAGTTTAGATTTCAACGTTAATTGCAAGCATAAACTAAATTTAACATACTTCTATGTTGTACACCATAGTCATAAACAATCAAAATGTAAAGGATAAATCACAATTTATTGGTTTAAAACTTTTATCAAACACCTAGTGAGCATAGAAGTTCATCCCTAGCCTTAGCTAAGAACTTAGCCTCTAGTGCTCATATTAATTACAAAAGTGTAACTAAGATAAAGGAAATACAACATACAAGAAATATTACCTAGAACCAATTGTAGAGGAGAGAAATAGCTTCTTCTCCAACTCTTTAAGAAAATGCAAAAGTAAAATATAAAAACTGAATTTTTAGCTCCAAAGATGGAATGATGATCTTGTTTGGTGAATTGGGGGCTTTATATAGGCTAAAGATTGGAATCTTTTAGTCTATTCGAGCCCAACAATCAGACATGGAAGATATATTTGATCAGATCATGAGAAAGGTGAGTTTTCCCATCAAAATATTGCTGCACGTCTCCATGTTTTGTGCAGAATCGGGCTTAACCGGCGCCGGTTATAGGCCTGACCGGCGCCGGTTATAGGGGTGGACCGGCGCCGGTTGACTCTCGGCGAACCAATTTAAATTATGTTTAAATGAAACCGACACCAGTTTTAAGGTCTGACCGGCCCCGGTTATTCCCTGCAGTGTAGCACTTCATTTTTCGCTCCGTTTTACGCCCATAGTTGACCCCGAAGTGTCTTTTCTTGGTCCCTTTTGACTGTTGACCCTCGTTTCTTCATCTTCGACGCCTTTGTGCGGTTTTTTGCTCAAATTGGGATTTATACCTGTTTCGTCTTTGAATATTTGTACAGATAATCGTAATTACCTATATAAAATATAGGTAACTATTGTTCTTATCATGGGGTGAGATTTGTGAGCAATTGCCTATAAAATAATTATATAAATTTGTTATGATATAATCAAAATGACCAAATTTGTTTTTTCTCCAGTAATTGACCGGTTTCCCCTGTTAATTGGCCTACGTGGATCATCCATGTGGCTTTTCCCCTGTAAGCGCTTATTTGGCTTTCATGCTTGTCCATGTGGCATTAAAATATTTTTTTCTTCGTTTATTAAATGTTTTCTTCTTCTTCTTCTTCTTCTTCTTCTTGTGTTAGTGTGGCTGGAGGGAGAATGGGTGAAATAAGAAGGTTATCGGACCAAAACCTTCAGCTTCAAACTCTTTCGATGTATGGGAATATGGGTGCAATTGCTAGGCTAAGGGGTATAGTCGGATTTGAAAAAAATGTATGGTTGTATTTAGTAAAATGGTGGCTGTGAATAGAATTTCTCTTTTTCAATAGCCAATTTAGATTTAAAACGCCCAATTAGCAATGCTCCTACCTGTTTCGGCCCATCCTGATATTAAGGCTTCAGTCAAGTGGGTGAGCACATGAGTTGGTCTGACCCAGTGGCCCTAATGGTCCGGCAGGTTCTCTATCTAATTGGAGGAAATTAGATAATTAACTATATTGTTGATACTTGTTGGGAAAAACTCCGAACTTTCCCGCTTCGTGAAGTTAAGATAGGCACTTAGGAAATAAGGCAGCAATGGGAGTACATGATTTAAATTCTCCAATATGGAAATTCTTCCACTATACAAAAGAATAATAGGATTTACAAGGATATTACAAAATTGTCTCACTCAATGGTGACTCACTCAAGCTTGAGGATACAAACTTCCCAAGCTAACTCTCTTCTCTCTCAAAGAGGCTCTCTAACTCTCTAGCTTTCTCACTCTAGGAAGTGGCTTCTCTCTTGCTAGGATAGTTAGGAATGAAGCTTCTACCCCTATTTATACTATACTCCACCTTCATAATGAATGGTGGGGATATAGTTCTCTAGAATGCTCTACATATGTCTTCCTATTCTAGAAAACTCTAAGGAATCTCTACACCTCTCCATTCCCTTCCATATGCTTCCATACTCTTCCATAAGGTTCCGAAAGGTTCCACACATCTCTAGAATATTCTAGAGGATTCCACACAATTCCACAAGCTTTTAGAGAGTTCTAGACTTCTCTAGGATTCTCTGGAACGTTCTAGAAAATTCTACATTTCTCTAGAAAGCTATAGAATTTTCTAGAACCTCTTCAATTAAGGAGGGATCCCAACAAATCCCCCCCTCCCGACTTAATTGGGGGGTAGTAGCAAACCTGCACCTTGACAGCAATCTTCGAACTTCTTTGTCGGTATTACCTTGGTCATCATGTCTGACCAGTTCTTATCTGTGTGAACCTTGTCAAGATGCAATTTCTTTTCCTCGAGGACTTCTCGGATCCAATGATACCTTGTGTCAATGTGCTTCATGCGGGAATGAAATGTTGAGTTTTTCGCCAAGTAAAATGCGCTTTGATTATCACACTTCAACACGTACCTTTCTTGATCTATTCCCAGCTCGAGCAGAATGTTCTTCATCCACAACATCTCCTTACAAGCTTCAAAAGTTGCGATGTACTCTGCCTCTGTGGTGGATAATGCAACACACTTTTGCAGCTTTGATTGCCAGGAAACAGCTCCCCCTGCAAAAGTAGTTAGGTATCCCGATGTTGATTTCCTTGAATCAATATCACCGGCTAAGTCTGCATCTGTGTATCCTTCTAACACAGGTTTTCCTTTTCCAAAGCATAAGAATCTTTTGGAAGTTCTTCGTAAATATCGGAGGATCCATTTGACCGCTACCCAATGTTCATTCCCAGGGTTGGCCAAGAAGCGAATGACGACTCCAACTGCATAGGCGATATCTGGTCTTGTGCATATCATTGCATACATGAGACTGCCCACTACCGATGAGTATGGAATCTTCTTCATTTCCTCCATTTCTTTCTCACTTGTGGGACTTTGCCTTGAACTTAACCTGAAGTGTCCAGCAAGTGGTGTGTCAACCGGCTTTGATTTATTCATGTTGAACCATTCCAACACTTTCTCGATGTACCTCTCTTAGGATAGCCATAACAGTCTCTTCGATCTATCACGAGTTATTCTCATCCCAAGGATTTGTTTAACCGGTCCCAAATCTTTCATGGCAAAACTCTTGCTTAGATCCTTTTTCAAGGCGTCTATCTTTATGTGATCTTGTCCAACGATCAACATATCATCAACATAGAGTAGAAGTATGAGAAAGTCGCCACATTCATACCTCTTTATGAAGACACAATGATCACCTTTTGTCTTTGGAAAGTCATGCTCTGCCATGAAGGATTCAAACTTCTTGTACCACTGCCTCGGTGCTTGCTTGAGGCCATATAAACTCTTCATGAAGCGACATACTAGGTTTTCCTTGCCCGGAACTTTGAACCCCTCGTTTTGCTCCATGTAGATCTCTTCCTCTAGGTTGCCATCAAGGAATGTCGTCTTGGCATCGAGTTGTTCAATCTCCAAATCGTGCACTGCTGCTAGGCCAAAGGACAACCCGGATGGATGACATCTTTACCACGGGAGAGAATATTTCCTCAAAGTCGATGCCTTTTTCTTGACCGAATCCTTTGACAACTAACCGAGCTTTGTAGCGAGGCTTTGAGCTACTATCTTCGGTCTTGATTCGATATACCCACTTATTCTTCAAGGCTCTTCTCCCTTTTGGTAGGTCCACCAGATCATAGGTGTGGTTCTCATGCAAGGATTGCATCTCTTCTTGCATGGCTCTTCTCCACTCTTCTTTATGAATATCATTGATTGCTTCTTTGTAACTTTGCGTCTCCCTCTCATCCGTGAGTGTAATGTAATCTTTGGTGTTATACCGGATGGATGGTCTTCACTCCCTAGAGGATCGCCTCGGCTCTGGTGCTGGCTCTTGGTTGCTTTGCTCATTTGTTTTCATCATCATTATCTTTAGGTGTTTCATCCTCACTTCGAACTGGAGTTGGTTCGGTCCTCTTGTTGCTTCTCAATCTTGGTTTCTCCGAGTTTTTAATATCTTCAATCGTTTGGTCTTCGAAGAAGATGACATCTCTGCTACGAACAACCTTATTATTGATTGGATCCCATAACCGATAGCCAAATTCATCCTTGGGTGAGCGAAGGTAGATACACTCCTTTGTCTTTGCATCAAGCTTTGCTCGCTCATCCTTGGGAATGTGAACAAATGCTCTGCACCCGAACACCTTAAGATGATTATATGAAGCCCTTTTGCCCGTCCAGACTTCCTCTGGGATGGCGCCGTTCAAAGGGACCGATGGTGTGAGGTTGACAATGTCAACTACAGCCACTATAGCTTCTCCCCAAAATGATTTGGGTAACTTAGCATGAGAGAGCACACAATGAACTCTTTCTTCATTTTTTCTATCCATTCTCTCTGCTAGACCATTTAATTGTGGTGTCTTGGGTGGAGTCTTCTCTATCTTAATGCCATATTTCTTGTAATAGGCTTCAAAGGTACCTTCATACTCACCTCCATTGTCCGACCGTACACGCTTGATCTTCCGGTCGGTCTCACGTTCTACTAGAGTGTGGAATTCCTTGAAGGCGTCTAACACTTGATCCTTGGATTTTAATAGGTGCAACCACACCTTCCTTGAATGGTGATCAATGAAGGTCACGAAGTACAATGCACCACCAATGAATCTCTTGGACATTGAGCACACATCAGTGTGTACAAGGTCGAGGATGTTCTTTCTCTTTGTGGGCAGAGAAGATCTTTGGAAAGCAACCCTGTGTTGTTTTTCAGCTAAACAGTGTGCACAAGGATCAAGTAACTTACCTTTCACGTCCGGGAGGAGTTGCTTCCGAGCTAGTATGTGAAGGCCCTTCACACTGATGTGACCCAGTCGTTTATGCCATACCTCCATGTTATCAGTGGTTATGTTTACCTCTCCTTTGCAGAGCTTAGCTTGCATCACATACAACGACCCTTCTTCTGTCCTCAAGCCATGACCAAACTTCCTTTGGTGAGCTTCCATTTTCCTTCATCAAAGTAGTTCATCAGACCACCATCATCTAACTTTCCAGCGGAGATAAGATTGAGGCGCATGGCCAGAATATGCCTCACATCTTTTAGGATAAGTTTGCATCCAGTGCTTGTTGTTAGGATGATATCTCCAATCCCGACGATCTTGCTTCTATCTTGGTTTCCCATTTGAACCGTACCAAAGTCACCGCTTTGGTAGGATGAGAAGAAACTTTCATGGGGAGTGACATGAAAGGAAGCACCAGAATCGATAATCCAAGAACTATCATCACAAGCAATGTTTAGGATATTACCTTCTCCAACGAGATATAGCAGATCTTCTTTTGCGACTACGGAAGTGGTACTCTTCTCTTCTTGCTTCTTCGTTGGGCTGACTTGGTCCGGTTTGACGTTACCGCCCTTTTGGTGTCTTTTAAAGGATCGACACTCCATCTTCCTGTGGCCCATTCTTCCATAGTAGTAGCATGTGATCTTCGAGCGTGATTTGGATCTGCCTCGAGATTGATACGGATCTCGGCCTTTACTACACCCACGAGTTTCATTCCTACCCCGGTTCTCAATAACATTGGCCTCGGGATGCATAGACTCACCTTGTTCCATTCTCCTTGCTTCTTCACCGAGAAGGCTATCACTAACGGCATCCATGGTGATTGGTGAGCTTTCCTTCCGGAGCTGAGTTACTAAGTGTAACTACAAGAGTGTCCCAACTCTCCGGCAAGGAACCAAGGAGTAGAAGGGCTTGCAACTCATCATCAATCTTCATCTCAATTTTGGTTAGTTGATTTACGAGCCCCTTGAAATTGTTCAAGTGCTCAATCATACTATGACCATCCTTATACTCCAACTTCACCAACCGTTGAACTTAATTCGCCTTATTACGAGGTGTTTTCTTCTGAATCATGGATTCAAGCTTTGTCCATAATTCATAAGCATTTGTGTAACTAGAAACATGCTCGAAGAGAGATTTGTCTATATACTTACGGATCATAGCAACAGCCTTCCGATTCAATAGTTCCCACTGGGTATCACTCTTGCCTTCAACCTTCTCTTTGTAGATGATGGGCTCATGCAAATCCTTGCAGTGTAAATGGTTTTCCATCATCGGCTTCCAATATGAGTAGTTGTTGGCGGTGAGCTTGAACATGTCTCCATCATGAGCGACGTTATCCTCCATCTTGAACTGCACGAGCTAGCGACGGCCTCAGATGAACCTGGCTCTGATACAACTGTTAGGAAAAACTCTGAACTTTCCCGCTTCGTGAAGTTAAAATAGGCACTTAGGAAATAAGGTAGCAATGGGAGCACACGATTTAAATTCTCCAATATGGAGATTCTTCCACTATATACAAAAGAATAGTAGGATTTATCACTCAATGGTGGCTCACTCAAGCTTGAGGATACAAACTTCCCAAGCTAACTCTCTTCTCTCTCAAAGAGGCTCTCTAACTCTCTAGCTTTCTCACTCTAGGAAGTAGCTTCTCTCTTGCTAGGATAGTTAGGAATGAAGTTCTTACCCCTATTTATACTGTACTCCACTTTCATAATGAATGGTGGGGATGTAGTTCTCTAGAATGCTCTACATATGTCTTCCTATTCTAGAAAACTCCAAGGAATCTCAACACCTCTCCATTCCCTTCCATATGCTTCTATACTCTTCCATAAGGTTCCGAAAGGTTCCACACATCTCTAGAATATTTTAGAGGATTCCACACTATTCCACATGCTTCTAGAGAGTTCTAGACTTCTCTAGGAATCTCTGGGACATTCTAGAAAATTCTACATTTCTCTAGAAAGCTATAGAATTTTCTAGAACCTCTCCAATTAAGGAGGGATCCCAACAATACTAAAGTTTGAGATTTGATAGGAAATTTCTTTACTAACAATGATAAGCTATTGCAGTGGAGATCAAGATGTACTTAATCCCGTTGTAGAGACTAGGAAATTTGCACAAATGCTTGCTAAAGAATTGCAGCTCATCACATTGCAGAAGAACAGACCTTGGTATGATGGCTCTCAGGTAAAGCAACGTGAATTCCCTAGTGTGAAAGGTTACTACTTATTATCGATCTTTAAAACAAATAATTTGTTGGCATGATTCTTTCAGTCTTTCTGAAAATAAAACCCCTACTGAACAAAAAACAACTAAAATGGTAAGACGAATTTCTTGAATGATACACAACATCATTAATACCATACAATTATCAACATATTGGGTTAAGACAAGAATATCAGTTAATAAAGATTTGTCACAAGTATTACTGAAATCAAACTCACTTATAAAAACATGACTATTAGTTACTGCTACCTCCGTCCCGAAAAGGTTCGCCATATTGATTTTTCTTGCAAGAGTGTTGCACAAGTATTACTTTGGGCAACAAAAATTTTGTGTTGCACAAGTATTACTTTGGGCAACAAAAATTTTGCGTTGCACAAGTATTACTTTGGGCAACAAATATATAGTTCATCACATAAAATATAATGGGCCACGATACTTAGGCAACGATCTCGTGACGATATTAAGTTAGTTGCACAAGAGAATGGGCAACAAAATTGTAGCTTTTAGTGACGAAAAATTTTGTTGCACAAAACTAATTTTCTTGTAGTGTTGGTCAACGATGACAAACTTTGGACTATAATTTTCATTATAATATTTGTATATAATTTGTAAATTTTATACTTTTATAAAAATGTTTTGAATAAGGAAAATTTTGATACAGAGTATAATTTTTATATGCTAAATAATTTTGTACGTAGTATTAAACAATATCATTAGTCAAAGTTGGTTGTCATTGACCAAGAAAAGTCAATTTGGTGAACCTTTTCGGGACAGATGGAGTATAATATAATACCATAGTCACTTAAACATAAAAATTGGACATAAGTTATTCGACTAAAGTTACTATTATTGTCCCTAAATTTAGGAGGTCATATTTTCATAAAACATCTATTTTAGTCATATATATGTAATTATTTGTAACTAAAATTAACAAATGGACAAGGTTATTGTCACTATATTTAGGAGGAATCTTTAATCATTATTGTCGATCACTATTAGACTATATTTAGGAAAATGGACAAATGGACAATATATAGACTATATATTGCCTATATATAGTCTAACTATTATTGTCACTATATTTAGGAGGAATCTTTAATCAAATAAAAAGGATTTTGTATATTATGTAGACGGTATATATTTTAAAAAATTGGCCTACTGAATTGAGAGGCCTTGTGCGTCGGTATCACCTGTTGCTCGCCCGAATCTACGGCTCTACTTGAAATGCATATAGAATTTTAAGAAATGAAGAGGTATTTAATTAGTATTCATGAGTGTTTGATTATTTTCCCAGGTTGCGGGATGGAGTGAAGGATTTGGAAAATTGAAGGAAGGAATAAATGTGACATACTTGACTTTTGCATCTATGAGGGGTGGATCTCATTTTGCTCCATCTACTTCTCCGTCAAAAGCTTTGAAACTTTTCAAAGCATTTCTAGAGGGATCTTCACCTGCCATCATTATCTAACTTATAATCGCTTTGCCAAAAAAATACACATCCACCAGTGTTGGAGATTTATTGAAAATAAAGCTCAAGTGTTAATTGATATGGCCCTTCAACATTTTATAGTGTTGTAATTTATCAAAGTGGTGCTATAAGAATATTTTCATATTATTATTAGGGGATAAGACCTCAATAGGACCAATACATAAGCACAGAACGTAAATAGGACCGGACACTTTTTTACTCCTAAATAGGAGTACTTTAATGTTAAGAGACAAAAATGCGCCCACCTTGAAAGAAGCTTGCTGGAGAAGAAAAATAGTTACGCCTTATACCTCTGCTGCACACCCTTGTCAGACCTCCTCCTCCTACCACCGTCACACTTCCGCCGCCCGCCGTATAACACCACTCTCGAATATACTTATTCACTCAATGTTTGAATTAATAAATAAATAACTACGGAGTATAAATTTTATATTTTGTAGTATAATGGAGATGGATGATTTGAAATATTATTTAAGAGAATTATTATTATATACCCAATAATAATAATAATAATAATAATAAATAATAATAATAATAATAATAATAATAATAATAATAATAATAATAATAATAATATAATAATAATAATAATAATAATAATAATAATAATAATAATAATAATAATAATAATAATAATAATAATAATAATAATAATAATAATAATAATAATAATAATAATAATAATAATAATAATAATAATAATAATAATAATAATAATAATAATAATAATAATAATAATAATAATAATAATAATAATAATAATAATAATAATAATAATAATAATAATAATAATAATAATAATAATAATAATAATAATAATAATAATAATAATAATAATAATAATAATAATAATAATAATAATAATAATAATAATAATAATAATAATAATAATAATAATAATAATAATAATAATAATAATAATAATAATAATAATAATAATAATAATAATAATAGTAATAATAATAGTAATAATAATAGTAATAATAATAATAATAATAATAATAATAATAATAATAATAATAATAATAATAATAATAATAATAATAATAATAATAATAATAATAATAATAATAATAATAATAATAATAATAATAATAATAATAATAATAATAATAATAATAATAATAATAATAATAATAATAATAATAATAATAATAATAATAATAATAATAATAATAATAATAATAATAATAATAATAATAATAATAATAATAATAATAATAATAATAATAATAATAATAATAATAATAATAATAATAATAATAATAAACCCCAAATATAGTATTGGAAGTCTAAATTTAATCTGCCGACACTCATTGTAACATGACTTCTATCCTCATTTGATATTTTTTGGTCTTGATTAAAGGTTAGAACAAATGAATGTGAATAAGCATGCCAAGTTGGTCCTCCCTTTGTCTTGGTGCGAACAAATCAACGTGAAGGATCAGACAACCACCCACTTCAGATTCATCCATTAGTATTATGCAGTGAATGAGGACTAATGAAATAACCCAGCACCTACCCCATCTAATTATACACGTTCGAAGCTCGGATACAAGGATAAAGGGAGTAGCAGTATGCTGTGTAGATATATATACTACGTATCTATAAATAATACAATTCAAAGATACAATTAGGGAAAGTTTTGACATGTGTCATCTTCTCATCAAACCTTCATTATAATATCTTAGATTCTCTTTCCAATTTAGAGAGTAATATATTAATTATACTACCGTTACATGGGTATTCAAGTTAGGTTAGAAGTGTTTAACGTTAATTTAGGACTAATCTATACGGTTGGAATCCTAAAGCTTCCTAGAGTTGTGCAACTCAAAAAAATAAAATCCCATATTTTTTTAAACTGCTCTAACTTTTCAAGTTGTATTCTGATTATTACAAAAAGTATATCAAAATTTATAATTTTTTATTATCTTTCATATGACACCAATATTGAATATATAAAAATAAAAAAGTAATTTAACACTTTAAAATAATTACTTTATTTTGGTTACTCTAGCATTTTGGTTAGATTAGAATTGTCCTTATATGGTTAATTTAGTACTAAGCTTATGGTATTGTACCCGAGTAGGAATGTACTTCATGCCACCCCACCCCAAAAAACATCTCTATCTTTAAAATTGATATAACTTTCTTATTTTTAATTCAATTTTTGTAAAATATATATCAAAAATTATAATTTTTTATTATCTTTCATATGAGACCAATATTGCATATCTTAAAAAATTAATTTTAAACATAGGAAATATGTAAGATTTTTGGATCAAAACTTTTTTTAAATAGAAAATGCATTAAATATGAATAAAAATGTTTTGAAATTCTAAAATAGGACCATCATGTTTTTATTTCCTAAATAGAAGTAATATCTGTCAAGTTTGGAAAAAACATGGCAAAAACTGTCATGTTTAAAGCTTGATAATGTCAAATTTGACAGAATTTATTTTAATTTAAGGAATAAAAAAAGGTAGACAGGAATTTCAAAACTTTTTTAATCCTATTGACATTTTCAGCCAGCAGATAAAATGTCCCCTAATTGCAGCACGCTCAAAATTATTTTTATTTTTATATATACACGTGTCATGTTTTAAGCAACCCATTCATTATACACGGAGTAATATTTTAGATCCTCTTTCTAATTTGGAATCATGTCTATTAATTATTCTTACTTTACATCAATTAAAATTGCTAAATTTTAGAGCTACTTAAAAGCCTTCTGAGAATGAAATTCCTAAACTTTAGAAGTCACATAATAGATTACAATACCACTGCCCTCCGGCCAATCCGGCACGTTAATTAAAAACATAACTAGATTTTTTTCTAATTGGCTACAATAAATCAATTGGATAGAATAAATCAATTTGGACTCCCTTTCAAAAAAAAATCAATTTGGACTCAAAACGTACATATACTCCGCATAAGTTTAAGTTTTACCCGAATTTTTAGTTACCTATACAAATACAATTTCACTCAAACACATCTGCCTGAAATTTGATCAAAATTATAGCTTAAGCGGTTGAATTGGCTGAATGTAAAAAACTATAAGAAAAATTCTAAATAGATTTTACGAATAGATTAAAGAAAAACTATATAAAATATCTAAAATGACCTTCTGCAATAACTTTAATTAATTCAGTCAGAAAAGTAAATCTAACTTTACTTATTTGATTATTACACAATTCAATATTTCAGTGTGAAGAATCAAAAGTTACGTGTTATAAAAAAATTGATTGATAAGATTGATAAGCAGCTAGAAATAGAAGTTATCAAATGGATCTCTTAATTGTTTCTAGAACTTCACTAAAATAGAATTGCACTCAAATTATTTTCTGGGGTAACTTAAGCCAAACCAGTTAGAAAAATAAGTTCAACTTTATTTATTTTGATTAAGACACAATTCAACGTGAAGAATAAAAACTTACGTGCTTATTAAAAAGTTGGTTGATAAGACTAATAAATTGAAAATAGAGATTATTAATCGGGCTCTTATTTTTTGCTAGATTTACGTGCTTATTAAAAGTTGGTTGATAAAACTAATAAGTTGAAGTAGAGATTATTAAACGGGCTCTTATTTTTTCTAGAATTGCATCCAAATAAAATTCATATGTGTATGAGTGCATATGATAGTTTTAAAAATGATTAAAAGCTTACTCTCTTTGTAATGTAAAATATTCTGAAAGTTTTCATTTGACATATTATCTTTAGCATTTTCAATTTTAAAAAACTCTCATTTGGAAAATTTGGAATACAATAGGAATATTATTAAGTAACTATTGAAAAAGAGGGACACATAAATCAAAGAATAAAAAAATTGTATTTGAGGTTTGTGCAAATCAACGTGCCTTTAGTTTTGTGCCTAAAACATTCCTACCGACAATCAAAGCAAAAAGACAAAAAGTTCAAATAATAGATCATTCTACGATATCAAATTCATCACTTGAATCCGTATATTAAAAACAAATGTGATATAAATATGTTTACTTTAAATGTACCGCCAATCAAGTCATTTTAACTTGCTATAACAAGTTATTTAAAAAAAGTTAAAAAAACTGATTAATCTTATAAAAACTCATATAAGTTTAAAAGATAAATTTATTAATATAAGATTAGTATAAGTTCAAAAATAGATAAATATTTTTAGATAAAATATAATCAAAAAATGATTATTATGTAATAATCAGAATAAGTAAAGTTGAACTTATTATTGGCTACTGCTTGGTCTGTGTTCTCTTTGAATAATAATAAAAGGTGGTTGATAAGATTGATAAGCAAATGGAAATAGAAGTTATCAAACCGATCTCTTATTTTTTTTCTAGAATTTCACTCAAATAGAATTGTACTCAAATTATCTTCTTGAGTAACTTAAGCCGAATGAGTTAGAAAAATAAGTTCAACTTTACTTATTTTGATTATCACACAATTCAGCATGAAGAGTAAAAATTTACGTGCTTATTAAAAAGTTGGTTGATAAGACTAACAAGTTAAAAAATAAACTGCATGTTAACGTGCTTATTTACAGGCTATTTTTTTTTGTAGAATGCATTCAAATAAAATTCATACGGGTATGAGTGTATCTGATAGTTTTAGAAAATGATTAAAAAAGCATACTCTACTCTTTTGAATGTAAAATATTCTGAAAGTTATCATTTGACATATTGTCTTTAGCATTTTCAATTTTGAAAAACTCTCATTTGGATAATTTGGAATAAAATATGAATATTATTAAGTAATTATTCAAAAAGAGGAACACATAAATGCAGAAATAACAACATTGTATTTGAGATTTGTGCAAATCAACATGCCTTAAGTTTTGTGCCTAAACATCCCAACCCACAATCAAATCAAAAAGACAAAAAGGTCAAATAGATCATTCTACTACATCAAATTCATCACTTGAGTCCTTATATTTAAAACAAGTTTCATATAAATATGTTTACTTTAAATGTATCGCCAATTAAGTCATTTTAAGTTGTTATAACAGGTTACTTCAAAAAAAATTAAAACAACTGATTAGTCTTATAAAAACTCATATAAATTCAAAAAGTAATTTAACAATATAAGATTAGTATAAGTTCAAAATTAGATAAATATTTTTAAATTAAAAAT